GAGAAAGATGAGGCTATCTCCTCTCGTCGAAGCGTACAGCCTCAGAAACCCTGGGAGCAGTTCTACTGCCTGCTCTGGGGCCAGTACCATCCTCCTGACTACTGGATGTTTGAACCTACTGGTGCCTGGGGGAATGAAGGGCCATGGACCTCCCCCGCAGGCACAGGGCAGCATTCTGATGTGATCCTTGGAGTTCTCGTTAAACTATTTGCAGTTTAGACAGCAGAGTGGTGCAGTGGAAGTATCCTGGGCCCATAACCCAGAGGTCGATGGATCAAAATATTTGCAGTTCTCGTTAAAATATTTGAAGTTGTTAAAATTGATTGCCAGTGTCTCTTTCACATCGGTCTAGAAGCTATTCTAAAAGCTGTCTATCGTCAGTGGCCTTGCTGGCATGTGGGATACTGCTGAGAGAGCTTCAAGTGTCCTTCCCATCAGGAAGCCATCACAGTCCGACAAACTGACAGGTGGGGTGGTGGTAGCATCAATAAATGACTGTTAACTTACTGATGTTATTATTTTGGTTATTATCTATTGCACATTACTGTAAAGCTCTGAAATAAGAGGATCACTTATTTAAGTTTTGAGAACAGGTACAAACATGGGTAAGACTTGACATTGCCTTAAGGACTGCCAGTGTAGTACAGGAAAGAGCAAGATATATTATAATCATGTAACGAACAAAAGACTAGAAAATTTCAAGAAAGATTACAATCTGCCCAGCAACACCCTGCCCTAGAGGGGTCACTATGAGTCAGCATCGACTCAATGGCAGTAAGGGTTTTTCTCGGTTTTTTAAGTGGTGTAGTGTGGGTTATACATTGACCTGCTAACCACAAGGTTGGTAGTTCAAATCCACCAGTTGCTCCATAGGAGGAAGATGAGGCTTTCTACTCCTGTAAAGATTCAGAAACCCACGGGAGAAATTCTACTCTGCCTTTGGGTCACCATGAGCCAGAGTCAACTTGATGGCAGAGAGTGAGTGAGAGGACAGAGGTCTGAGGACCAGCATGGCCTATCACATGGAAGTTTTGGATGCTATTCATTAGTTGCAGCTAACTTCTTTTCCTATCGTTCAAAATGGTTGTGTCCAAAATTCCAAGCCCTGTAATCCACTCACAGCATGTATTCTTCCTATGCAGTCTCACCTCAGAGATTTCAACTGGTTCATCCCCCGAGCACAGTTCTATCTCAGATATACTGGATCAGAATCCACAGTTTAATAAGAATCCTAGGTTGAGTCTTACAGGAATGAGCTGGCTTGCTATTTGTATGCTGATATCAGTTAGCCCCTTAGTCGTATTAACCGATGCTTCCATTGGTCACAAAGACTGCTGCCATTGCATAGATTTAACTCCCCAAATCATCTTACACCATCCTGCAGTCTTGGCTCATTGGTCCTTTTCCCTCACTCTCAAAAACCAACCACCAAATCCTGTCAGTAATTCTGAAATGCACATTTCCCACCCAGTTTTACACTAATTCCTCGGTTCATTGAAATACTGTATTGGTGTCCTATCTGCTCTGCCTCCATTTACACCCTTCTGCAAGTTTCTATGCCACTCTCCAGAGTCTGTCACTCTCTTCTTCAAAACTGTTCCCATTGTCTGGATGACAAAGTGCCAGCATATAAATAAACATCATAAAAAATCTTGCCTCAGTTTACCTTCTAGCTTTTTGCCCCACACTTACCTCTGTACCACTTTATTGGCTTCTACTCAAACACCCCTTTGATTAGATTGCCTTTAAAAATAAGCCTGCAGTACATGTCTCTCTTCTTTGCATAATGAATTTCTACTCAAGAAAAACTACACCGTTTGCCCTATTTTTTATACTGTGCAAGTTTGCCAAGCTACTTCCCTCATCTACACAGTGACAATAGTGACATTACATATTTTAGAGAGTTGGTCAGGGATCAACTAAGATAATGTCAATGAAAATAGTCTGAGAACTAAATCGCCCTGAAAGTATTAAATAATATTTAGAACTAACACAATTGTTAAATGTGTTTGTAAATGGATTGCTAACTGTACATTGTAAATGGATTGTGCATTGAGCTGCTAACCACAAGGCCAGTAGTTCAAACCACTAGTTGCTTCTCAGGAGAAAGATCAGGGTTTCTGTTCCCACAATGATTTACAGACTCGGAAACCCCGTCCCATAAAGTCTACCCTGTCCCACCAAGTCGCTAAGAGGAAGAATGGACTCGGTGGCAGTGAGTCTACCCCTCACATCAGAATTATTACCAATTTCTATCACGCATATCAAAACTGATGAATCTTTCGTCTGAACTCTATCAGGATGCAACACTTAATGGGTTCTCCCCATTTTACATTTCTGCTCCGTCCTGCACACTGTAAAGCTCTGGAATGCACATAATATTTTATCCGTGTGGTTCACACATCGAACCACCTTCTGTGTTTACTGAGTATACATTTATTGAACAAATACACACGACTGCACAGCATTTGCTTCCACAGTCTGTGCTCTGGATGCTCACAACCTAGAAGCAAGAAACACATGTTAGCAAAACCACTTCCTGGTCTCATAGAATCCGTGGCCCTATTCTTACCTTAGAGGTGTCCCCAGGCACTACTACCCTTTGGACATTCTTCCAAGTCCCATTTTCTGATTTTACAGGATGATAAAAGACAATGGATTAGGTGTTAACTAGAAGGTCAGTTCTTCAAACCCAGTAATTGTTCTACAGAAAGATGAAGCTTTCTGCTCTCGTTGCAGTCTAGATAGGGTGGGTCACTGGGAATCAGAATTGAATTTATGGCTGTGGGTTTGGGTTTGAGTTTGGGAGTAACTATGTAAAGATGTCAGTAACCTTGAACAGGAAATGCCCCTATAGGTTGTGTTAACAGTGATAGAGATGCTGTGAGGGCACTGGTGGCCCAGTAGCAGATGCCTCACCTTCCACGCAGGAAGCTTGGGTTCAGTTTCCGGCCAATATAGCTCATGAGCAGCTGCTGCTCATCTGTCCATTGTGGCTGGGTTGCTATGATGTTGAACGAGTTCCAATAGAGCTTTCCCACTAGGAAGAATGGTATGGAAAACAGCCAAGGAAAACCTATGGAACACAGTGGTCCAGACCGAAGCCCTGGCATCAACTCAAAAGCAGTTAAGAAGAGACACTATAGTGAAGTGAAGGGGGAAGGCTAACTCTACGAAAGAAGGAAAGCCCCAAACTCACGAAGCCATAGCCAATGAGTCTATTTCGACTCCTGGTGACCCTTTACAGTGGTTCTCAGCCTTCCTCATCCGCGACCCTATCATACAGTTCCTCATGTGGTGGTGACCGCCCAACCATAAAATTATTTCCATTGCTACTTCATCACTGTAATTCGCTACTGTTATGAATTGGGCAATCCCTGAGAAAGGGTCATTCACCCCCCCAAAGGGGTCGTGACCCACAAATTGAGAACTGCTGCTTTACAAGGTTTCCAAACTAAATCTTTATGGAAGCAGGTAGTCTTCTTTCTCCCCCAACAATGGTAAGAGTGAAGGAAAAGTAATTGTTGCTACTAGTGTATTGGAAACTTTCTAACTCATAGTGATCCTATAGGACAAAATGGAACTGCCTCTTTGGGTTTCCAGGACTATCAATCTTTACAGGACCAGAAAGCCTGATCTTTTTCCCATAAAGTAGTTGGTGGGTTCACACTACCGATCTCGTAATTAGAAGCTCAACACGTAACCCTCTAGCCACCAGGGCCCATTGAGATACCTATAGCAGGTGGGAAGAAGACTGTGTAGTGAGCCAAGCACTGGGTGACTAATCGCAGTCAGTCTTCAAACCCACCAGGCACCCTGAAGGAGAAAGTTGAGACTATCCCTTAAAAATGTAGCCTCTGAGCCCAGTTCTACTCTGTCCCGTCAGGTTGCTGAGTAGAATCAAGTGTCACAGTGGATTTGTGGGGTTTTTGTTTATATCATGTGGAAGAGAGTGTCAAGGAATCAATAAGGAAGGGCTGGAAAGGGTTAAGAAGTAGGTCTAGGTTGAATGACACAAGCATAAACTTTCGAGTCAAATACTACTCCCAATGCTTACCTGTAACGGTGATTTTCAGTTATTAAGGTTTTGACCTGAATCTCAGTATTTTCACCTAAGGTTATTTTGACAGTTACATGAAATAATCTGTCAACTGCCTAAAACATAAACTGCCATTCGATAATTGGCAGCTTTTGTAATTATGTTCAAGGATAGAAAGTTCTTCATAAAAGAACTGCTAATCTACCAGTGTTAGCAGCTTTCGGAAAAAAGTCAGAAGCTATAGAAAGATTCACACTTTACAACACAAGTTTAAAACACCATAGCTTAACAGTGATGTTATTTACCACTAGGTGGCAACGAGACAAGCTGATTTTCACAGACAAGGTTAACTTTCAAAAGTGAGCAGTTTGATACTTCCAAGCTTTCTAGTACAAACTTTTTTTAAGAAAAATGGCCATTTTCTCTATAAAATTAAAATGTAATTATCTAATTTAACATGTACACTAACCCTTGATTCTCTTTCCCTCTGTGTACCAGGGTACCTCACACAAGAAACACTTTCTAAACAATTATGAGATAAATCTTTCTTAAAAATTTAGACAATATCACAACAACTTTTTAAAGTTCTATGGTTCCAAGAAAGGCACTTCACAATATAAAGTATTACAATGAAAACGTTAGGCCTTTTAATAATGACTGATAGAGAACAATTGTAATTTACTATTTTCAAATTTGGGGGCCAAAGCATGAAAAGGTACTCAAATACTTTGCTTTTAGAATACAAAAACATGGAGCTAGGATTCACATAGGTAGACTTTCTTCAATGTCTTGAATAAACATTGAGTTTACTAAATCAACTTATCAAAATTCTGGTATAAAGGGATTAAATGCTAGAGGAAAGAATCTCTTTCTACCAAGTATCCAAATACTGGTAAAATACCCTCGAATATACACTTTTTCCATAATTATTTCTGCTTTCTTTATAAGCACAAACATGGCATTTAAAACAATAAAACCTTTATTCCTTTCATTTATTCTTCTCATAGCAAATAGAAAAACAAGTAGGGCAAATCTTCCAAATTTTACATAATAGTTCCAAGTACTCAGGGAAAACAGGCAAACATAGCAACTTAAAAAGTCTTGGGATGACCTTCCCCCAAACAGAAGGTAGGTCCTCTTACCATCAGAGATTAACATTACAAAACATGTACTAGAATTAGATGAATACATAACAGACCTATATGTTACACAATTCATAATAAAAAGGCCTAATTAAAATAAAGCTATTATTCCCTTTGTATAAATAACCTAAATTCCCAACTTTTCAATTCCCAGTTACCTATAAATGATCAGAATATCTTTTACACATTTAAGTTAGCAATCACTCCGTTTACTTCACTTCCAGAATAATTTCCCTGTTCAACCCACATGAGATTAATTTCTAAATGATGTTCACAATCCTTATATCACTGTTTCCGCTCACTACAGAACTTCATTGTGAACTATTATATATACCCTCAATCTTATAATATAGGTCTTTCTCATCCTGTCAGCTTAATCAGACCCATAGGAGACAATCATTTAAGATGGCTAGCACAGGAAAAGATTACTACAGCAGCCCTCATAAATCAAGCAAAAGACTTAGGGGATGTGCTCAGTTGGTTCACTGTTATCTACTGCTAGAAATTTGGGGGAATGCCACTGTTATAGGATAGTGATTAACTCTACAAACGTGAATACATGTGTACATTTCATTTACACACAATCGGCTTGTGATAATCTGCATAAATAAGAGAGGCAAGAGACAGTTGATATAAGACACACAATTCTCAAACCACTTAGATACATTCTGTACCTGCACTTCACAGGTTCTATGTCTGAAAATCCAAAAAATACACAAAAATTAAGCCATCTTGAAAGAGATGAGTCACAAACGCAATTACTCAAACAATGGTAAAATTGAAATGCTATCATTGATTTGAGCTTGTCATCTTCTGTTTATTTCTGATGGTGGCTCGAAGTTTACGTATTACCAGTCGATCAGGTAGAATCATATCACCTTGTTGTTCTAGATAATCCAGTAAATGTTCAGTCCATTGAAGAGCAGCTGCATGATTAATGTGTTTCTCTGGAATCAGTTCTATTTCCTCCTCCTCATTTTCGCTGGATTCATCTGTCTGGCCTTGGGCTCTTCTGATGATTTCGCTGTCAGTTAACACTTCATAGCCTGGTTCAGTACTGTCCACTTCAAGCCATTTTTCAATGTTCTCTGTAGTCACATTTTCCAATCCTTTGGTGTGCTGCAGAATGGTGGCCACAGTAGCTATTGAAATATCTTCTTCATCAAAGTCCAAGACTTCTTTCTCCTCTAGGGTAGGAAGAATCTTCTTCCATGCTCTGCTAATTGTAACTGGTTTTACCAAGTTCCATGCCATTGCTACTTCGTAGAGCGCATCTAGCAGAGTTAGCTTCTTCCAAAATGATTTCAGGTCATTACCTTCTTCCAAGTTGTTGTGGAGAAGGCCTGCTCGATAGTTTCTTTTCATTGTTGCCATGACTCCCTGATCTGAGGGCTGAATCAATGAAGCCACATTGGGTGGTAAATATTTAGCAAATATTTGGCCATCATCTGATCTCAGAACGTTTTCATTTGGGTGTGTTGGTGAATTATCCAATAAGAGCACAGCCTTTTCCTGTAGGCCTTTGGATCTTAAATATTCTCTAACTTGCGGCACAAAGATCTTATCAAACCATTGTCGAAAAATGGAGAGATTCATCCATGCACCTTTTTGGCTGAAATACGAGACTGGCAGGTTTGAAGTGTCCGTTGACTTGAAAGAACGAGGTTTCTTTGCTTTCCCCACAACACAAAGCTTAAGTTTATGTAAGCCTGTTGCATTGGCACAGCACATGATAGTGACTCTTTCTTCAATTGATCTGTGTCCAGCAGCAGTGCATTTACCACGGATTACCGAAGTTCTAGAAGGCAGACACTTCCAAAACAGTCCAGTTTCATCTGCGTTGTAGATTTGTTCAGGTTGCAAGTTTTCTTGTTCAATAAAGTTTCGAAAGCTGTTACAAAACTCTTCCACAGCAGTTTCATCTCCATTTAACCTTTCATTCCTAATGTTAATCTCTCTAATGCTGTGCCGCTGTTTAAACCGAGTTAACCAACCAGCAGAAGGGTTAAAATCACCATCCATCCCCAAGGCGTAAAAGAAGAACTCTGCCCTTTTTGCACAAATTGGGCCAGATATGGGATTCCCTTTTGCTCTCTGTTGGTTGAACCATTCCAGCATCGCTCTGTCCAGCTCCTCATACATGGACGGCTTCATCGATTTTCTCTTGGCCAGAAGGCTTGTAGAATCAGAACTGCTTGCATACGTTATAATCTTTTCCTTGTTTTTTCTTATATCCCGAACTGTTGTTTCACCAATTCCATAAATAACTGCCAGTTGTTTGGAAGAACCTCCGTCTTCAAGTTTCTTTATTATATCGAGTTTATCTTTAATCGTTAACACCACACGCTTCCGCTTCCCTGACATAGTGAAGCTTTGGGACCCACCACACTCACACTGAAGCGGCACACAAAATCACTCCTTCCCTCACACAGGTTCACTTTTTTCAGTCTTACAGACTTTCAATCTTAGCAAGAACCTGGTGGCCCTGACCTGCTCCTCCTCGGTTGGGCTGGACAGGCAAAGGGATAGAAAAGGAAGGAGTGTGGAGCTGCAGTCTCCGGACCAGGTTTTTAATTTAAGACGGACAGTAGAAGAGGGCCCACGTCACTGCGGTTAATCCGGATTAGAGGCATTTGTTAGTCCCTCAATGGCCCCGAGAGAGAGACTAATCCCATCGTGGCCGCAAGCCTCTTCCTCACCCGGATCCCGATGAAGTGCCCGTCACTAACCCTGCCAAGTCCCAAAGTTAAGGCCAAGAGCGGAAGAGCCACGGAGGAGAGGACTGGCACCCGCCCGGTCTCCCCCGTCCCCAGGGGGACGGCTACGCTTGGTCCCTTCTCCAGCTGGCAGCCCCTGTCGCCGTATAGCCCCACGTTTCTGTGTCAGTTTAAATCCTGACAGTCTTCCCGGCCCCTCACAGCCCGTCGGGCCCCTCCCCCCACCTCAGTTGGAAGCGAGACCCCCTCACCGATCCCTGACTATCGCGAGTCGACCGCTCCGCCCCTAGCATACGCTCCCGGAAGATGGCCCTCCCGCCCGTAAGCCCCGCCCCTCTCCCCTCCCAGAGGCGGGACTTCCCCTCGCACCCGGAAGGGGGAGGAGCGCCGCTGTCCGGCAGTGTGGGTGGAGAGCGGAGGCGCTTGGATAGGGGAGGTTGCAGAAGGCGGTGCGGCGGCAGCGAGTGGGCGGGGACTCGCTGGTTGTGGCGGGCGCTCTTGGCTGTCGAATTCATTCCGACTTAAATGAAAACGACCCGGTAGGACAGGTCGGGCCGGCCCCGTAGGGCTTCCGAGGCTGGCATACTGAGGGAAGCAGGCTGCCAAATCTGTCTCCTGCACAGCGCCCGGTAAGTGGGGACTGCGTCGGGTCAGCCGGGGTGGCGGGAGGCCGCGCCTCCAGGGAGGCGAGCAGAAAATTCCCCGCGGCGCACACGGCGGCCGGACGCCGCCCGTGCCTCCTGCGCCACTCCCCTAGCTGGACAGCTGCGGCGCCCGTGCCCTTCCTTCGTGGGCATGCCTCGGGGCGAACGACGGAAGCCCGCCTAGTGACTTCTCGGATTAATGGCTTTCCCAGGTCCTTGTGTACTGGGAGCAGACCCGTAGTACGGAGGTATTTGTCCTCCGTTGCCATCCTGCGCTGATTGACAGGGTCTGGTTTGCAAACGACAAGCCACGCCCTTTGGAGCAGCCGGAGCCACCGGCCGGCTGGCTGCACGGGAAGGGTTTGTAATCCTGACAAGGACTCTGGGATCTGTACCTCTGCCTCCTGCCAATCTAACCGAGAGATTTTAAGGAATACAAAGCTGTCTCGGAAGCTAAACTACAAGATCCATTCTGTTAAAAACCGTGCAGTGTAGAATCGTTAATTCTACAAGTGGGAAGAAACTGGCCTGCCTCTCATGTTAAGCATGTTCCTCTTTATGTCGTGTTGTGCTGCCTTGTTTTCCAGCCAGTAGAAAAACTATGAGAAATTGGTGCACAGCAACGTGATAACTTGATGAGACATTATGCACTGTAATCTTCAGTCGTTAGGCTGGCTTGTTTGGGTTTCCCTGGGAATTACATCAAACATTAGGAACCCCTGGGAGCACACATTGTCGCTTTGGTTTCTTCTCAGAACATATTAGCCACTGCTCAAGTTTGTTCCGGTATATAGTAAGCGTTACACCCTTCTTCCTTTGCTATCTCTTTGCTAGTCAAGCCCAGCTGAGGAGCTGAGGGTCACCACGTTCTTGCTAAGCTTGTAATTCTGTCAGACTGAAAAAGTGGACCTGTGTGAGGGAGGGAGCAATTTTACATATTGCTTCTGTTGGGGGGGGCGGGGAACGGACAGTGTTTGAGTCCAAAGCCTTACCATGTCAGGGAAACCGAAGCTTTGGTGTTGACCATTAAAATAAGCTCAATGTAATTTCTGCTGATGAGAATTCAAATGATATCATCAAAGTCCCTCCTTATACTTAAAGAGTGATGCCATGATGCATTATTGCCTTTAACTTATATTCTTTGGCAGAGAGCATAGCCATCTATTTATCCCATGATATTAGAGATGTGGTAGTATTGATCTTCATTTAATTATTAAATGCTCTGTTTGGCGTTTTGTTTTTCTTTGTCTAAAGGAGAGGTATCATTAAAGGTTAGACATTTTCATTTTGAGAAATTGTTTATCCAGCATTCATAGAAACAACATCCATGTGCATGGATTCTTAATTGAGTGTCTTCTGAAATCCAAGAGTTGTCTTTATCCATCAATCTAGTTTTACGATCTCATTTCTCTCCCCAGGGTCACTCCCTTTTTCCAGCTGTCCTCATTCTTAGCTGTTCCCAGGAAATATGAAAAAAGAACAAACCCACTGTCATCAGAGTTGATTCAAATTCATAGCAACCCCATAGGACAGAGTAGACCTGTCCCTGTGAGTTTCTGAGAGTGAAAATCTTTACAAGAGTAGAGAGCTTCATCTTTCTCCCTCAAAGCGGTTGGTGGTTTTGAACTGCTAACTTTATGGTTAGCAGACCCACTGGTCCCCAGGCATCCATGGTTATAAGAAGCCAACAACCTTCAAATTACCTTTCTTACCATAGCAGATTATTTTTCACATTATTGATATAAATGACCGTTTTGAAATAGAGAAATCTGGCTATTTGTTAATTGGCCAAATGAAACCTGATACCTTACTATTTTTTAAAGAAACTTGTCTCTTAAAGCATTCAAAATTTGTAATTTTCCAAAATAGTTTTCCCATCAGAGGCTGCCTGCCTTTGAAATACTGTTAAGCTTAAAGGAGAAGCTTTCCCTTTTGTGACTAGTGTCATCAATAAAATGGCAGGGGAAAGTGCACATTTTCATCTCTTTTGCACATTGTTTTCTTGCTCACAGGCTAATTTCCAGAAGTTTCTAACCTAATTCATGTACACCAAATTGAAATACATTAAAAACAGTAGAAACATGTTTATACATTTCAAAGCATTTTAATGGATATTTTCTGAGTTAAAATTGAGCATGCATGAGAGATAAAATAATGACTGTTTAAAGGCCAATATTTTACTGTTTTGTACAAATCTGATATTGACATTAGTCATTGTGATCTCTACTTTGTCCTCATAAGTTGTATGATTTAAAAAAGTGTGTGTATGGGGTGGCTTTCAGAGCAGATTAATTTTCCAATCAACAATTTACACCCATTTTGTTTCATGTCATTGATGTCAGTCTTCACAGTATACCATCACTTACATTACGTAGCCTACTTCCACCCTTGTTCTCTATTTCCTTTCTTCCTGTCCTAGCCCTCGGAACTTTGCACTTGGATAAATGCTGCCCCTTTGATCTCAAATAGTTGATTGTTCTAAGACTTTTCTTATCTCCCTTGGCCTGTTGTACCCTTTGTAGACTTGTCTGTTATTTGGCTGAAAATTGAGCCTTGGAGCTAAATTCATTTCCAGACCCAAAGGGGCCATCATTTCAGGGGTTCTACCTGTCAGCCAATGGTAGTGGCGGCTGGGTACCATCGAGTTCTTCTTGTCCTAGGGTCATGGAAGATGATGTTTACATGGTCCGTTAGTTCCTTGGACTAAGTGTTTTCACATACCTTTGATTTTCTTCATTGTTCTTTGCTCTAGGCAGGGAGAGACCAGTAGTTACACATTTAGATGACCACCATTAGATGAGCTTCAGAGACCCAACCAACAAAGTAGGATGTAGAACATTGTCTTTGTGGACTGTGTTATACCAATTGACTTTGGTGGCCCCGAGACCGTGGTCCTGAGCCCCTGGGTCCAAAGATGCAGTCTTTTGTGGTGTTTGTGGTGTTTGGTTATAACCAAGTGTCAGCTTGGTAAATGATTTAAGCTTTGTCTTCTTGTCTCTGGTACTTATAAAAGAAGATTTTTTTTTTCTAGAATAATTGTGATTATTTTTAAAGAAACAGAAAAATACACAGAAAGACCTTAAATATTAGTTTTGGAGCTTTTTAAAAAATTAAATTTAATAGTATGTCATGTGCAGCCCGAGGTCATTTAAATAGTGTAGTATTCTTAGTGTTTACTATTTTTGTCAAAGGAATCACCAATTGGCATTTTTATATATAGCAACTATATATATCTTACTATATAGCAACCCTATATAAGGTTTCTGAGGGTATAAATCAGCAATTACCCATAGTGTCAACCTGTGGAGGGACTACTGGGTTTGAACCACCGAATTTGTTGTTAGCAATCCAATGTTTACCTGATTGCCCCACCAGGGTTCCCCTTTTAATACTGCTTTTGGGTACTACTAAATTTTTCACTTTAATGTTCTTTACTATCTCTATTTGCTGTAGTGTATATACTAAGCCCATATTTGCCATTTATCTTCATACATATTTTTCATTATTTCTGCCAGTGAAGACATCTTTATCAAAAAAACGTTACCATCTTTTAGAACAGTTAGCTCATGCAAATTCAACTGTAAATGCTTAAAAATAATCCTGTACTTTGTCAAATCCAAATACAAGCTGCCGGATCCTCTGGAAAGGAGCCCTAGTGCTGTCTGTTGGTTAAGCACTCAGCTTTAAATGAAAAGTCAGTCATCTCAGCGGGTAACCAGCTCTGTAGGAGAGTGGTGTGGCAGCCTGCTTCCCTAAGGGTTGCAGCCCCCTTGGCAACCCAAGAGGCAGGTCTGCTCTGTCCTGTGTGGTCACTGTTAGTTAGTATCCCCCTGATGGCACTGAGTTGTTTAGTTCATCTGCTACTTAACCAAGGAAAGAATAATTGGTTTAAAAACTTGAGAAACTGGATGGGCAATTGTGAGGCAGTATATTTGTAAACTTATACTTTGAGAAGTAATATAAAAATTTCTTTAAAAGGTTGGATTTTTCCCACATACAGTTTTCATCCTCGTTGATTTTAACATAAACTCTCTATAAGAATGCATCGTAAGAGTAATTTTAAAGAGTTAATATTTATTTTTTCACTAAGATTTGCTAGATTACCACTACTGTGCTGAATATGCACATATCTTACAGCGGTCATAATGTTATATTTCACCCTATACTGTAAAGGTATTATCTATTGCAGGGGTCTCAAACTGGCGGCCTGCAGGCTGCATGGCGACTCCCAAGGTAATTTTTTGTGGCCTGCGATGCTCTGAACTAAAATGAAAATAGGAAAAATGGTTATGAAGAAAATAACACTAAAGGGAGATCGAGGCAATACCGTACACACAATTCCCTTGTTAACCCTTTAACTACTGAGGACAAGTCTACACATGGCCCAGTGCCTTTCCTGGGGGCCTGTGGACGTGTATAAATGCTGACTCAGTTCCAGCGATGTTTGGAAGCGATGTGTCTGCCACTCTCAGTGTCACATCATGTAAACAGATCCCAACAGCAAAAAGGTTAAAAAGAGCACTCTGGGTTGTGCTGTTATGAATCATGCCATTACGATTGTGCATCATGTTAGTCAGCTGTCCAACATTTTGTGTCTTTTATTTACTTTGTTATATTTTCCGGTCACAATGTAAGAGGTAAGTGAAAACTAGTAGGAGGAAAGAGCTGACAAGTTTCGGGTAAAAAAGAATAATTTTAGTTTTATAAATACATTAAATAAAATAAATGTTTAAATAAAAGTAATTATATTGTGTTTTAATTATCCTACCCATATTACTGAATCCTCACTTCAAAATGTAAATTTAACAAAATTTGTAAGTGTGGTGTGGCCTGCGTGAATTTTGCCAGTTGCACCAAAAGGCCCCGAGCTTGAATTGAGTTTGATACCCTGATCTACTGCGTAATCTTAGGCATGTTTATAGTAGATTTTGCCATTATAACAGCAATCACATTGCTGGGTAAACATCAAATTTTGTACAGATGAGCGTCATCTCCATCATCACTCCCCCCTTACTCACACACACAAATATCTTAGGGATCTGTACATTTTATGGTGTTATTGCTCTGTTATGTGATTTTTGCCGATCCATGTTTGGAATTGCCTTCAGCATTGCAACACATTTTTTGAATATCCTTAAATTTCTTTTTGGAAAGATAGTTTTCATTTCTGGAATACTAAGGTTCCTTATAATTGACATAAGTGAATACAGTAGGTATTGAAGCCATGCTCTGACTAGATAATGAAGTGTAATTCTTTTCTTACTGGGGATTTTGTACCTCCCTGCCCCTAGACTGTGGTTATATGGAAAATCCAGAAATATTCTGGGCATGGTAGAAATATTGTAATTATCAATCTCATAAAATACTTTGTGAGGAAGTTAATGTTCAATTCAATATATAATTCCTATACATACATTATAAAGTCAATTTCACTCTACTGTAACCATTATTACTTTTTTCATTAGCAACTAATCCAATCTTATGGCTCATAGAGCCCAAAGACAATACAATTCTCACAATTACTTGGGATTTACTTGAGATGTTAAAAGATTACAAGCTCCACCACACCAAGGCAGAACACTAAGGGAACACTAAGGGCATGCGGCAGAGCAACAGGGGGAGCAGAGCAGGGAGCCCCCAAGGGAGTGCAAAGGATAGACTTTGGGGTCATAGCGTGTCACCCCATCGGACTAGACAGAAAGACACAGTTAGAAGTCAAAAAACAGACCTTAATCTATTTACAGGTTTTTCTTTTTTTTTTTTCTTGGTCATTGGTTTTCTTCTTGTCATCCTTGTGTTCTCTTGTCGCTTTGTCTTGCTATGCCTTGTTTTTTGTGTGCATATTATTATCTCTGCAGGTCTATCTAGATAAGATAGGCTGGATGAACAGTCTGGAGGAGAAAACAACGGGACCAATGGTTCCAGGGGACATGGGAGAGGGGGAGGTGGGGAAAAGGAGGTGGTGTTGACCAACCAGGAACAAGGAAACAAAATAATAATTTATAAATTACCAAGGGTTCATGAGGGAGGGGGGTGGGAAGGGAGGGGGGAAATGAGCTGATACCAAGGGCTTAAGGGGAGAGCAAATATTTTGAGAATGATGAGGGCAACGAATGTTCAAATGTGGTTGACACAATTGATGTATATATGGATTGTGATTTATATGAGCCCCCAATAAAATGATTTTTTTTTAAATTACAAGTCAGAGTCAGAAATGTTAAGGATATAGTTCTCTTTTTCTGCAGTGTCTTACTTTCAGCCATGCCAGCAAGTACATTTCTCTCTGATCCTCCTTTCAGCTACATAGCCGCCTGGCTTCTGTCCTGCCCAGACAAGTGTTAAAACATGTCTTTAGCTCTTTGGATGCTAGAAGACACCATCTTTACTCTTTGCATGAACTGGGAAGCCCAGTGCTGTGGCTCATGATATTGGTGCTCTGGCTACCTAGTTCTCCTTTATTGATGATCATGGGATTTTGTGTTCCTGCTTCTGAGATGACTCACAGTATTTACTTCCCAGGGGAATTAGAGAGCTCGATGTTTTGTTTTTGACTTCCCACCCAGTCATTTGGTAAAACTTACAAAGACAATAGCTAGAAGAGCCATTTTAATAAAGTCTTGAGATTGCATGCTTAGTGATGAAGTATCAAATAGTTTTGTGCTGCTTTGTCGTATAGATTACTGCATGTCTAACGTTTGAGTCATCCTGATAATCCTTATATACTTTTCAATTCTAAATCATTTGTTCTTCTAACTTGAACATTGTTCACACTTTTTAGTCAGATTTATTTACTGATGATGCTATGCTCCTTGTCAGTACCTAAGCTTTATCCTGACTATTCTTTTATCTGCCTGAATTCCCTTTTCCGTTTATTCACTCTGTTTCAATATGGCCAATTCATTAATATTTTACCCTATATTTTACAGTTCCATAGGTCTTATTTTTATCACCTATTTGGTACTAAATAAATACCCTATGGATGATCATTTTTCTTATGATGTTCATATATTTTAGTTATACACAGATAGTAATCTTTTGAAGGATAAGGACCATTATTTTTCTATGTATCCCTTTCAGAACAACACATAGTATCACTCAGAAAAATTCACAGGTGTTCAATAAATCATTTGTTGAATCACTGTTTTGCCAGCTTAATTCATATTCTAAGTTATTTTTACCTTTGCGGATCATTTAAAAGCTATAAACAGTGTAATTTGGTTACATTCATATCTGTAATCTAGTTATCCTTGTTTTATTGTTAACTTGATTTTGTAGAAGCTCGCATTAGAAGCCATGAAAACAAGAAACAGTTCTAGAGCTCAAGTGCCTGAGCAGAAATCCCGCATTGATTGGAAGCGAACTAAAAGGAGGACCTCACTATTCGTGGACAGTGAGGAAGAGTTCGACAGTGATGGAGAGTTTGACCCTGGTGAAGAGTTGGAGAGTAATGAAAGTGCTAATAATAATGAAAGCATTAACAACAGTGAAGAACTTGATAGTGACGAAGGGCTTGATGGCATTAAAACAGCCGAAAATGAGAGCAAGCATACATTAATTAACGTGGATTGTGAAGGAGACCGCAGTCAGCGTCTCATGAACACTGGCAACCCTTCAGTCTGCGTAGAAGACAAGAGCCAAAGTGAACATGTGAGCATGGACTTACCCAATCCTGAAAGGGGCCCCACTCGGGAGGGTGACGATCTCAGCAGACACCCTGGACAGCTGCCAGAGGAGGATTTGGAAGAACACATCCAGCGAGGGAGGAGGAAACGGATGTGCACGAAGGTGGTAGACAGCGACGAGAGTGACAGCAGTGACGTCGTGGTCGGGAAAAGATGCGCCAAACATCCACGGAGAGTGATGGAAGATGAAGGCTGCTCGATGGAGCTGGACCAAAATAGCCCGGAGAAAACTGCAGCAGCACGAAGAAAGCAACGGCTCCAGAAGCTGCGCGAACTCTCTGAAGGAAGAGCGCGTCAGAGCCGCAACAGTGGCAGAGATTCTGAGGTCTGTTTTTAGATTGTTAGTTTTGTTGCCGTTTTAATACTTTATTTAAAATGTTTAAATTTTAAAAGACAAAAGTGCTGAGCCCATTCTATTTCTCAGTAATCCTAAGGCAAGTATCCTTCAGCATGTTCACTGGCAGTCTTGTATCTCAGTTGTATCGTGAACTTCAGGTCACATATTTTTAGAAATTGAAAGACTTATTTTGGGTGGTCTCTCCCATTTTTAACTTCCATTTTTGACTTTATTGCTCATTTTAAACATTTTATATCACATAACCAAGATAGCATCTTCTAATTTCAAAAGTCCAACATTTAACATGACATGTTTTTTTTAACTTGAAAATATAAATTTTTTTGAAAATATAATTTTTATGGATTCTATTTGGTTTCAGAATTGATCTTTTCATGTCACAGTCATACCACCAATTTTAAAGGCACAGTCTACTGATACGTGTGTTTTCATTTAATCAGGCCTCTGAAAAGGAATCCTGTTCAAGTAATGATAAAGATGATGATGAAGTAGAGGATTATGAATCTGATGAAAATAGCAGTGATTATATTACTGATGGTTTTGTAGTACAAGATGAAGAGAATGATAGCCAAGGAGAAGACAAGCAGGATTCCTTTTGTAAGTTAAATATCAAGAAAATATTTTAGGTTGTGCTATTGTATCAAGTCAGCCTCTTCACATCATATTCTAAGTCATTGATTAGGAATCATGATTTCACTTTTAGGCAACTTTAAATGATTAGATGATAGTTTATTTCACAGACCTTGACAACCTTTTGTAGCTGAATTTGCATTTAATCTGTGGTCATAATTTTTTTAATAGGTGAAAATAATTTGGTTTCATTGTAATATAGTTAAACAAAGGAATATTTTAATATTCTCAAAACAACTGTGCATACTCTTCTTTGATATTACACGAAAACTCAACAAGCGATGTTTGGGAAGAAACAAAAAGCATTGCTGTCTAATCATTGCCAACTCATGGCAACCCTATGGGGCAGAGTAGAACCGTTCCCCCTGTTTTCCAAGGCAGTAACTCTATGGTGAGTTTGAACTGCTGACCTGTGGTTCCCAGGCCAGTGCTTGCAAGAATGTCGTGGGGGTGACATCAGACCTCGGCTGACTTCAGAAGGGTAAAGCAGAGGTACCATCAGCATCAGCCCAAAGCCTGTGCCTATGAGATGAAGGGTGCTTGGACACCAACCACCCCTTCCGCACCACTCTCTACCTCTCTATTGGGTTTGACAATTCATTGCAGTAGCCATGCAGAACTCACAGACAGAACTCATTATTATGGGATTTATTGGGGAAGTTAAAGGTTATAATTCAGGATTGGAAATGCTCAGGGTACAGCAGTTCTCCAATCAAAGGGCATCTCTCAGCCATACCCACAGGCACGCGACTATCTTGTCCTTGGCCCCTCAGCCATGTGATGCTTTGGCCTCTGCCCTCTTCAGGCAATGTGAAAAGCTCCTTATCACTGCCAATAAATGTCCAAAGGGTCTGTTACTCTCCATAAGTCTCAGCCAGAAGGCACTCAATTCTAGCTCTGAGTCAATAACCCTAGTTCCTCACATAACCTGCCTGGAAGCAACCCACTCTCAGCCAAAGCCACTGAACTTCACTTCTTTGTAGGTTCTGAAACGTGATGCTCTGCTGTGTCAGTGGTGCTGCTGCCTCTTCTGCCACAGCTTCTCTACCACTCCTCTCCCACCCCTTGATGTCTCCGGTGTCACAGCTCTGACTCCTAGACTAGGAACCTCAGCACCCTGGGGCCTTGGGGGACCCAATGGATGCACTCTACTGGCTCTTCTTTCTTGATGGTAATGAGGTTTTCCAATCCTGCTTCTGGCTGGCTCATTTTAAATCTAAATGTATGGCAAAACTGGCCAATCCCTTCATTGGAGTCCCATATCCCTATTTTGCATGTTCCATCCAATCCTTTGGAGGAATTAGAAAGATGGTGATGAGTAGAAGGGCTATTTTAAATAATTTACTACAGTGCTTAGCATGCTAATTTCTTGAGTTATTTGTAATATGAACTCTAAAACTATAAATTAACCTTTAGTACTCTCATAATATAGTCCATTTTGCAGTTTGAGTGGGTCTTTATTACCTACAGGTAATTTTGTAATATTATGCATTGGTCATTTGGGAAATATTGGCTCACTGTGTTTTAGAGATCTTTACAATGTTGACATTTTATTACATATTTTTTAAAAAGCACATTTATTAATACACCTACCAGTCTCTGAAAATTCTTTTTCAGTATTAGAAAGCTGGCATGCTCACAGTAGCAGATACAGGTTTTTCAAAATTCTAATTTCTACTTTAAAACATGATTTTTATCTTTGACAACAAATATTCTGAGTTTTCCTTGAAGTGGCAGGCTCACTTCATTCGGTTTTGAGAAACTGTCTGCTGGATACCCGAGTCTGAATAACCAGCTTGTCGTTATTTCAAGTAAAAATGATGTTTTGTAAAAAGTGAGGCCTTTTCAGCTCCCAACTCAAGCAGTAATACAAGTGCTTTAAGTGCATGCTCCCCATTTCATCCCATAGCTAAAAAGAGGGGCACTCACGGTGCAATATCTAACACAATAATTAATCTTTACTGTTTTGTAAGGGACAGTCTTAAGTAAAACTAGCCTCTTTTTCTTTTTTTTAAATTATGAGTGCAGAGCAGAGATCACTGCGGTGGTTACTAATAGTCTGGTGCTGATGCTGGGATTCATGCTATGGGACCCATTGCTTTACCCGCCATGGCTCTTGTACCATCAGCACAAATGTTAACATGGTGACAAAGAAAATTAATGCTATGTTCCTGTATTGCCTCCACCTCACCACTAGCTTCTGTGGATTCTGACTCCTGCTGACACCCGGTGGTCAGAGTTGAAAAGAACTCCTTACAGTTTTAATGGCTGGTGATCCTAAAGGTTGACTCCCACCCAGTTAGCAGCTTAGCACATTAACCATTTGGATCCCAGAGAGAAACCCTGTTGGCTGCTAACAAAAAGGCTGACGGTTTTGAACCCACGATTCACCCCACAGAAGAAAAATGTGACAATCCACTTCCATAAAAATTTACAGCCTTAGAAATCCTGTGGGCGGTTTTGGTTTTGAGGTTTCCAGGGGTCTGTAAACACAGTTTGAGAACAAGTAATTTTTTCGGACCTTTTGTGACTTAATCAAACAGTGAAACCTATCAGAGACAGGAAACTAGAATGCTCTGGGTTTTTGTTTTTTTCTCATATAATTGGTTAAAACATAAAGAATAGAAGTCTGAAAAATCGTAGGATATATCTATCATTACTCTGATTCCTATGGTTGTACATATGTACGAGGGATAGTTAACAGTTGTGGTATAAGCAGGCTGCAGGACTGATACATTTTGTATTTTTTCCTTCAGTAAGGCATTTTTCCAAATGTTTTAGGAAAAGCAATATTTTCCAGAATTCCATGCTCAATTTAGGTCTCAAAATTAAAAAAATAAATAGTTAGAAGTTGGATCCTATTTCAAGAAAACAAGTTACAGAAATGCCTAATAGACATCTGTGTACTATAAGTTAATGATTCTGTTCTTTCCATGATTACACACCCATTCAATCATATTTCAGTCTTCGGGAAACGCATTTAGGAGTCATCCTATGCTCAGGCTTATACAGATCATTTGCTGGGCGGATACCCACCCATACCCACTTAGGCTGATTACAGAAAAGAAATGTCCAACCTGTGGGAACCACACCAACATCCTCTTTGCTTTGTGACTCACTTTTTAATGTAGCAGCTTTTATCTTGTGTGTCCTTCATGGCATCTTCTCCTGGGGCTTTATCAACATGTTGGGTTTTTTAAGTTTGAATGACTTTGTCTTTACAAACTCTCTATCCTCAACTCACAGCCACGTTCCTGCCTTTCCTTCCTAACAGCATGCTTGGTTAGCCACTACTCCAGAGCCTCTTTGTGTCTGTTTCCCAGTAATTCAGCAGAGCTTTGACTCGCTCTCCTGCACCCATCCCTCTAGTGAAATTACTGTCACTTAGCAATAACATCCTAATACGGAAGCTCTTCACGTCTTCCATTAACCCGGCCTTGCCACCACTGACCACTCTCACGTGCAGAAAGCACTTTTTATGTAGCTCTGTGGGACCATTCTCTCCTGCCATTTAGCCTTGCTTTCCCTTTTGTGGTTGTTTTCCCCCCAGATATTGATCTTTACAAAGGTTTCAAATGTTATGTCCCCCAATCTACTTCTGGTTTGCCTGTGCTTTGAGCAGTCTCCTGCCCATCACTACAGCCCAATTTCTAGGCAAAAATATCTAAGCTTTTATCTCCAGCCCAGATTTCTTTTGCTTGTACGACTTAGATGTCCATTATTTTATCAGCAGGGTATCTTTCGGGTACTTGATATTCAATGTGTGCAAAACTCAATGATGAGGAGGTAGCATAGGGAAATTTGTGACCAGGGATAGAACTGTTCCTATTTTGGTTGTGGTGCTGGTGAAGGACAACGTTATGCATTTATCAAACATCACAGGGCTACAGACCAAAAGTGAGTTCTACTGTGTGTATAAAAGAGCTCAGTAAATTAAGCCAAGTGGGTACCACTCCTCTAAAAGACATGAAAAACCAACTGTCATTTCTTTTTTTAAAACATTTATCATTAATTGGGATTTAATACAAAAATCATTTCATAGTTCAATTATCGTCAACTTTCTTATCTTTGTATTTCTAAGAATCATTTGAGTTGTGGACACTTTATGGGAACTTACTGTTAATTGGATTGGTGGATAATGGATGGTTGGATAATTCAGGCAAATACCTTGGCCAACGGCTTCTGGGTTTTATTGTTTAAGAGACTCAAAATAATCCATGTGGCCAGATTTTCTTTAAAATGTTGAGGAAAAAGATCATGTGTTTTAGATAAGTGAAACTTAATTAAGGTTTTGAATACCTACAAATATTTAGACCGTATGTGGCTATGATAAATAAAATTAGATATGGTGACTTTTCAGTTTACCAAATGATAATGTTCTAAAAGTTTCTATAAATTAATTCTTATATTTGAGATTCAAAATACATTTTCTCATTAAAACAATGTATGTGATGAATAAGGAACCCTCCTCTCTGAGCAGAATTAAGTTGGAATCAGACTAGTGTTCTTATAATCATTCTCTCCCAAGCTTCTGACAGCACTGACAATGATTCATCTTTTAACTATTATTAAACTTGAGAGAAATATCTCTCAACTCCAAATAGAGTGTCCATTGAGAATTGCAAGCAGTGGCCAATGTAATTTTGCCTATTAGCTGAGGACAGACTGAGAGCTGCATGTCTACCACCTCTAGGCTCTGGGTAGTTTTTCCCCTGCTACAAGGCCGAGGAACGCTGGTGGCACAGGAGTCAGCAGTTGGAAATCACCAGCTGCTCTGCTGGAGAGAGAGAGATAAGATAAGGCTTTCTGCTCTGCAGTAAACACTTACAGTCTCGGAAACCCCCAGGGGAATTCTGCTCTCCTATAGAAGAATAGATTCTGTTGTTCTCATATAGAACTTCTGGTTTCCATGGGTTGGAATCAACTAGCCGGCAGCAAGACAGGGTTGATTGAAGCAGTCAAAGACAGCAATAGCCAGTTTTTCCTTGTCATCCACCCTTACTATTTCTATATCTACTCTGAGTCTGCAATTCCTAGATAAAATGTGATAGAAAATAGAGGAACAGACTAGTGGTAATCTACTATATTCCAGCCCTAAGTAGATGCTAGATTTTAGTGTTCATGCACCAAGAACCTTAAGTTTATAATGAAGCAACAGTTTTATTTTTCATAGAATAAGGAATACAACAAAAATATTTCTTAAATAACTTTATCCTAATAGTTATGAGTAACTCATTAAGACATGAAAGCAAAATAAAAACATGAAAACTTGAAATTAGAATATAACTATTGAAAAGAAAAATATTAGTTACCTGAGCATAATTGTATATAGGCTCAACCTATAAGGTTCTGGTTCATTTAGCAAAGTATACCAAACTTAAGGGATGTGCATGACATTGAGCAGGAGTAAATATTAAAGATCAAAAAGAAGCCAGTTTCTTTCTCTGCCCCTGTCCTCTTATGCTGAGGTTACCCTTCCATTGGAGAAGAAAGCACACTGACAATCCATGTGGTTTTACCTAAGAGAATATTCTCTTGATTATTCAGCAAATCAACTTATTAGTAGTAAGACCACATCCTACTCAACATTGAGGTAGAAACAGTTGGCTTAGGCATCCCTCGACAGTACCTCCGTCTCCAGCTGTAGAGTACCCTAGTCAGTTCATCTTCTACAAATCCCTAGGAGAGGTTTAGTATCTTAGAATAAGTAAGAGATCTTAAAAAAAAAAGAAAGAAAGAGCAGATTCACAATAAAAATGCAAAATTCCGTAATTCCTTCACAAACTAGCAATACTTATTTGAAAATGAAGTGAAATTTTCCATTCACATTAGCAACCAAACTAAAAGTCATCCCAAGGGCTAATGTCAACAAGCAAAGCTTGTCTTCTGAAGCTGACACGGAGGCTTGGCAACACAGGGTCCAAGCACTTGGCTGCTACCTACAGGCATGCCTTCAGCCAAGCGGAGGGAGAAGATGCGGTCTGCTTCTAGTGCAGCCTTGGACCCCGGATAGGGCAGGTCTGCTCTCTCGGGTCGCTGTGACTCAGGAGGGACTGAGCAGCAATGTGTTTGTTTTGATTCAGGTAGAAAAAAGCGTTACTGTGAAATAGAAGACATGAATAAATGAAGAGACAATGCATGTTTATGGAAGATAATACATATTACAAGAAGTTATTTTTGCTGAAATTATGAAGTTGAACTATGCAAAACAATTCTGAGTTCACTTTGAAGAATGAAGCCTAAATAAATAAAATTGTAAAACAGTAAAAATTGCAAAAATTTGCTTTCCCTGATATTAAAAAGTCAGAAAATTGCAGTATGTAAAACAGTACTGTGCTTGCATGAGAATGCCAGCCAGGTCAGTGGGAAGGGAAGATGGTACAGAGACAAGACTATAGCATGTATATGAAATTAATACACGGGGCTTGAAAAATATCATGGAAAAATGAAATGAAAAGGGATTTTTTTTCCACAGCCCCTTTGTATATGATAAAGGATGTGCATAAAATCAAGAGGCTGGCTGGATTTTCTAGTTATTGGGTAAGGAGAAATTGGTTAGCTGCATTGGAAAAATCAAGTTACGCATAAATGCAATGTTGGTTTTCTCCTGTATTATTTTTCCACTTAAAGAGTTGGGGAACAAAGGAGATAAGCCACATTTCTAAAATATTCCAAAGAATATTTTAACCTAATACAGGGACTGGAACATGAAGTAAAGTTCTAGAGGATGAATTCTAATCCTGCTTCTGCCTCTGTCTAGTTGTTTGACCCTGAGCATATCATTTCATCAGTGTGTTGTTTTTCCTGAATTGTAAGTGAAATTCCAGTTAAATTTTCTCTAGAATTCCATCTTAAGGTCCACATTCTGGAGTATAATAGAAAACCCATGTACCATTCATGCCGACATCCATTTAGATGATAAGGCATGGGGAATAGAGTCAATCTGCCCGAGTTCCAACATTTATTCTGTGTGTGTGTGTCATAAAGAACATTTTCAACCTCTATCTCATTTCGTCATCTGAAAATAAATGACAGTTCTTCAGTGGTTTGTTGGGAGAAATGAAACAATTAATGCAAATACTTAAAATGGTTCCTGGCATACACTTGCTCAATAAATTGCAATTGCTGATGTTTGTTTTCTACCCAATTTCAGGTGCCAGAATCATAATACCACCATCCCACCCATCAACACAAACACAATTAATAGAGGTCTTTTTCTAACGTTTTAGAAGGAGATTGTGATATGTAGTGGCAGGAGAGGGGTATTGTGGTTAAGGACAAACATTCTCAACTGATTCTCATTTCTGCCCTTTCCCTTTCCTATCAGTCCTAAGGATACATATACTATCAGGGTCTTCGAAATAGAGCCACAGTTCCTAAAACTCTCTAGCGGTCAAGTCACACTGGGTACATTCAAGAGGAGGAAGTACAATGGGATGAAATAGTTCTATCTGTATTTGTTTGATAATTAAACTTAAGTACAGAGGATAGATTTGATGTCTTTCCCTCAACATATGTATTAATATTCTCCAAACAGTTTTACTACAATTAGGGAAGTGATAAAATAGATGCATTTGGATACTTAAAAATTCAATTACATACCAGCACCATAATAATAACACTTACAGAGTTTATAGAGTCTAGCCAACATTGAATTCTGTTTAAATATTATTTTCTAATTGTGCTTTACTGATTTAAAATATATATACTCTTTAATGGCCATGATGAATTCTTTTGTAATTTTCCATTTGTCATAGGCCTTCTAAAATCTAAGGGCATCAGTGCAAATGGTCTACAGTCGTCATTTAAATGTATTATTGCTTCATCTTGATCACTTTTGTACTTCAAGTAGGATGTCATTAGTAATATTTATATGTACACACACTAAAAATTTCACTTTTTCTTAGAAAGGATAATTGTATAGTCCTTTGGGGGGAACCAAAACAAAAGGATGTAAATTATTTCATGCCCAACCCATCTTTTCACATAAATGAAAGTCAAAATATACTCATGAATACTCGGCCTTATTTGGCTTTTATCTCTTGCCACTCAGTTTGTTCTTGCTATATCTCCACAGATACCCAGAAATAGGCCGATGGTTTAGGATGACCATTGAATCAATGAAGGAGGCATGGTCCATAGAGAACATTTCCAAGACCCAAGTAGACTTTGACCCAAAAGTAGTGGGAAATAATAGGGACTTCCTCTCTTAATCCCTGACTCGCTTCAGACAGCAGATGATTTCAGGGACCAATTGGGCAATCAGGTGTGCATGTGTGAAAGACGATACATACCTCTTCTAAATTGAATATGCTCCCAACCCAAACCCTGCCCTCGGATCCATGCAAACTCCTAGCGACCCTGTAGCATAGAAGGAAACTGCCCCTGTGAGTCTTTTACTCTTTCCAGGAGAAGAAACTCCGTCTTTGTTCTGAAGAGCAGCTGGTAGTTTTGAAATCTGGCAGCAAAAGAGGAACTATGGTTTTGTTTATTTATAGCTATTAGGGTTCCAACTAGGGTAGTAATTTTCTAGATAATTTCATATGTAGGATCTTTTATGTATATGGAATGAGAGAATAATTTTATGCTCATATTAAACATTTTCCATGATTGATTTATTCTTTTACCCTAATCAATATGTTGCTTGTTAAACTTGGGTGCCCAGAGGAAGATTTGGATTTATTTCCAGAATGTATTTTATAATATTACCTGAACATTTTTTCTTTTCTAATTTGGGAAGTAGAGACAAGTAGAAATTTTGTATTAACAATTTGGAATATGGAGATTTGCTGTGATTAGACAAGCTACTAAAGTAGTGATTAAATTAGGATAATTAAGTGATTCCACTGTTTGTAGTATTAATGTTTTAACCTAGTGGGAAAATAACCTATTTTACATCTTTCTCTCTCTATATGGAGTTGTTTGTCTATTTGATTCTAATATTTGTTTAAAATTAATTTCAGATTCTTTTAATGAACCCTATACTCATTTTGAAAGAGTTGTGAAAGCTCTGCTGATCAGTGCTGTAGATGACTCTTTTCTTGGAAAATTGTATGGTAAGTTAGTAGTATGAATGGGCCATGTTCTTTTTCGTTTGCCTGTTTTCAAACAGCCTAGCTTTAAAAATTATATTAAGTAAAGCCAAGAATGACCTGTTACAACCAGCCAATCTTCCTTTTAAGGCCAATTCCATCAAAATCTTAGTGTTTCTGGAATGTACAAAAAGTCCAAAAGAAGTTACAGATCCCTCTCCAGAGAGAATTTACAGTACATTTGTGGCTGTAGGACATATCCTCATAAAAAAAGCATGGCTCAATTACTGTGTTCTAACCTCCTTGAATTTCAACAAGACTTACATGCTGCTGTATGTTCCAATGCTTGTACATATGCTTTACCCTCTGAGAATATAATCCATTTGTATGCCAGTGTTCCCACGGGAGCATCAAAACATTTCCAATGTGAAAGCTTCCACTCACTTGAGTAATATTTTTCTCCCTCATTGTCTCCACTGTCATTCTGAGTATGGTGGTTTTCATGTGCATGTGCTTTTCCACTGCATTTAAAATAGATATTTTCCTGCCTCCCTTATCAGTGTGGGGAGAACTATATCTTCTATACACCTGTAGCCCTTGCACCTGGACATTTAAAGAGGAATATAAATACGTTGTGTTGAATACCCACTTAAGTGCTAAAATTGGATTTATCTCAGTGTATTGAACAAGCATTTATTGAGTGCCTATGATGGGCTAGACGTTATTTGAAAGATGGTGATATGGCAGTGACTATCTGTGATATTCGCCTACATGTTGCTTAAAGTGTAATGCTAGAGATAGTTGATACATCAGTAAGCAAATACATGTGAGCCCTGGTGGCACAGTGGTTACACGTTGGCTGTAATCCACAAGGTCAGCAGTTTGAAACCACCAACCTCTCTGCAGTGGAATGATGAGGCTTTCTACTTTCATAAAAAGTTAGTCTTGGAAACCCACGGAGGCAGTTCTCCCTGGCCCTCTAGGGTTATTCTGAGTCTGTATTACCTGGATGGCAGAGAGTTTTTGCTTTTTGTTATACAAATACATAACATAATGCAATTTCAATTGGTGATTAGTTCTTGGGTGGGGCGGAGATAGTCTTTAATGATACAAGCAATAAGAGAGAAGAAAGTCGGTAGTTATATTTGCCAAAAAAAGGTCTACGGTGTGAATTTTGGAGGGTACTCTGAATGAAGTAAGACAGGGAGTCACACAGATTTTATTTGGGTGTTCAAAGAACAACTGATGGGCCTGGGTAAGTAAAGGTCATGAGCAGAGAGGAGAAGGAGTAGATACATTCAGAGGGGTAGATAAGGGCCCGAGTTAGCGAAGGCTTTGTAAACCATGGTAAGGCATTTGAGTTTATAAAGATTAAAGAAGCATGATAAATATATTAATTTGTTACAGGAGTTCTGTATGGCACAGATAGTTAAGCACTTGACCACTAGCTAAAAGGCTGGCTGTTCGAACCCCCCCTCCTCCTTAGAGGTAATGCAGAAGATAGACCTGGCCATCTCTTTCTGGAAAGTGTCAGCCTTGAAAGCCCTGTGGGACAGTTTTACTCCTGACGTATTCAGGGCTGCCATAGTCAGAATGGACTCCAGTGGCCACTACAACAGACTTACTGATGAACCCTTAAAGGAGAAGGGAAAGCAGCTTACCGGCTGCTGATCCAGAAGTTAGCAGCCGATCTGGAAGAAAGATGTAGTTTTAGCCATGGAGACCTGATGGGCAGCTCTCCTCTGTCCTACAGGGTCGCCGTGAGTCAGAGTCCATGCAATGACAATGGTTTACTGTGTATAATATGAGCCAGATGAGGAAGGCAGAAATGAGTGCAGCATGCTAAAAGGGAGTAAGGAAACAGGTCTTAGAAGAGAAGCTTCTGGGCTTACCAGAAGAGAGGTTACCACTGGGGGCTACCTCTAGGCAGGTAGGATGAGGCTACTAGCAGAGGACATGGACATCCATATTCAAAACTGAGCTCTCTCTAGATTTAATGGCTAGATAGCTGAAAATATCCGAAAACCTTTAAATATTAGAAAATAATGGCTTCCAAATTGAGTTCAAAGGGGAATTGAATTATTGTTTGTTTTTGTTGTTGTTGTTTACTTTCCCTAATACCAGGAGCCTTGGTGGTGTAGTGGTTATGCCTTGGGCTGCTAACTGTAAGGTGAACAGTTAAAACCACCCGTCGCTCCACGGGAGAAGATAGGGCTTTCTGGTTCTGTAAAGATCTACCAGCTTACGTCGCTGCCGAGTCAGCAGCAGCTCGATCGCAGTGCATTTGGTTTGGTTGGTTCCCTAATGCCTGGTTATCATGATTTTTTTTAAAAACTTCATTTGTTTCCTTTCTCACTTAAAATGCCTTATATCCAACGAAGTATCTTTTAGGGAACTATAGGAAGAGTTGCTTTATTAAAAAGCATTGAAATAGTTCACATGGGTAAGGTGATTGTTTTGCTGTTTTTCCTCTGAACAGCTGACCCCGGTCAAAGCTGCTTGCAGAGGACGTGGGCGTCTGCGCAAGATATGCTGACATCTCTTCATTATTTGGATGACCATTTGATTCAGCCTCGTTTAAGGAATTTAGTTTCTAGAAGTTGGAGTGACAAATATAAGGTATGGAGTTTTGTTTTTGCTTGATCTCCAGGGTACAGGACAAAGATGAGGGAGAAGGGTCCCCTCGGTTTACATTGTTCAGTTAGATGGATTCCTCTTCTAAGTGAATTTATCTTTATTAAATCAGTTTGTTGTTTCTAAAGTCTATTATTGCTTTAATCATTCACACTAACTATTTAGTCCACTAAATAAAGCAATAAGTAACCTTAGAAGTCTTTAGAACTCAACCTTCTATAAAATGAGGAAATTTACTGTGACTAGACAAGGAGCCCTGATGGCAGAGTGGGTTATGTGTTCAAGTGTTAAGGAAATTTACTGTGACTAGACAAGGAGCCCTGATGGCAGAGTGGGTTATGTGTTCAAGTGTTAACCACAAGGTCAGCAGTTTGAAGCCACTAGCCACTTCTCAGAAGAAAGATGAGACTTTCTACTCTGGAAAAGAGGGAGCAGTTCTAACACACAGGTAGTTCTACCCTATCCTATAGGATTGCTGTGAGTCAGAATCAACTTGATGGCAGTGAGTGAGACAAGTGACCAATCAACCAATACAATTAGTAAAATTAAGTTGTTTCTGCTTAATTATTCATGTCACAGATGTTAATTATTGTTCCACAAACAAGAACTCCATAGCCCAAAAGTTTGAGAAACGCTGTTAGGTTTTACACTGGTTTCCTTACTAGGGATATTTTCAGGAGCATTCGTGTATAAATTTTTATTGTAATGTATACTGAGAGAAGTATAAAAAGTAATACTTTACAGATATGGCTTCTTTCACACTACTTTATAAATTCTGCTTGAGCTTCCTTTTGAGAAAATGACATGGTTACCACCAGTGATGCTTGATTTCCATAGTATATAATTTGGGAAACATTGACCTAGATACTTTTGACATCCCTTTTTGCCTTCAAATTTTGTAATCCCACTGTTTGGGAGAAGCACCTGTTTTATTTATAAAATGTACTGTCTTCTAGCTTTACATTTTATTACTTCCAAATAGTAGAGGCTGAACTTTATTATTTTTAACATCCCTCCCTTCAATCACACTGCGCACACACACACTTATAAGAGTCTGTGTTCTGATGGTTAACATGAAGGAAACTGGCAATAAAATAAAATCTCTCTCAAGCCCCTTGAGGTCCTGCGGTATCATTTAAGTCACTAGCCACTCAGATTCATTTATGTCACTTCAGGATTGCTTTTATCTAAGGCTTGTTCGGTTTTGAATTACCTGATGATAACTTAGGAACAGATGATTTGGCTTAAAGGACAGTTATGAGATTGCAGGAAGAGGTAGAGGTAGAGGCTTAAAATTGAAGGAGGGGTTGAGCTTAGGGCTACCATATATATGGTGTATATATATATGTATATTTTTTTTACTTCAATGAAATTTTTAACCTCTCTGATCCCCAGTTTATTCCTCAAATAAAGGGAGATTTGCCTACTCTAAAGGAAAATAATGTTTATTTACTTTGAAGGTAAAGTGCATAACCCAGCTAGAATATTATTTTCTTTTAATGGGAAAAAGGCAGCATATATTTTATTATGGATTCCCTAATTTTTGCCAAGTACTTTGTATGCAAAATAAATTATCTTATTTAATCTTCAAAGTAATCCCATGAGGGAGATAGTATTTTTCCCTTCATTTTAAAGATGAGAAAATTATGACTCAGAAAAATCAATAACATAAGATTATACAACTAGTCATTAGCCAGGCCAATATTCAAACATAGCATCCCTGTGGTATTTTGCAATACCACACTATAGTAGATTTTAACCTTTTCACTCACATATGTTAGCCTATCCATGACACAAGTTATTTCCTCTCATATTTTATTGGCTACAGCAAGCTGTGGTCATACCTAACTTCTGGTGAGGCAGGAAAGTGTACACTTACCATTGTCATTTAACTGTGAGGAGAAAAGCTGGAAATAGTTAGTGAAAACTAATAACCATTATAAGAATCTAGCCTGAAGAGTCTAGAAATGTCAAGAATCTTAAATGAGCTTCATGAATGTACCAGAGATCTAAAAAGAAGCTATAGTATTTGTCCCTAACACTGATTCTTGGGCTTCACACTATCATTAAGATGGAGTATGCCTTAGTATTAAAACTTACTGGGTTTTCCTCCTCAAAAACAAAAAACAAAAACCCCTCTTATTATATATGAATTCCACTTAGAAATGTACCACTATTCCACAACAACAATAACGACAAACTCATCGCTGTTGAGTCAATGCCAATTCACAGTGACCCTATAGGACAGGTTAGAACTGCCCCTGTGAGTTTCTGAAACGTAACTCTTCTCAGGAATAGAAAGCTTTGTCTTTGACCCATGAAGTGACTCGTAGTTTCGAACTGCTAACCTTGTAGTTAATAACCCAACTCATAACCACTATGCCTCCTGAACTCCTTTATATACCAACAGAAGGAAGGAAATTGATTCTAATATTGTTTCACCAAAGTTTTCCCCATTCTTTTCTGGGATCTTGGGATTTTTAACATTTCTACAAGCAACCATTTCTGTTAATACAGACATAATATTGACAATTGACTGTGACCCTTTCTAGATAATTTCAACAACTCTCTCCTCTGATAAAATTACATTGATAAAAGTAAAAGCTAAATACAATATCTCACATTTAGATTATGTGCTTTGATAAATTTTTAAATGTACATCTTTGCTTTCGATCAAATAGAAGTCATGTTAACACAAACAGCTGATTTTCACTGATCAAATATTTATGAGTGTACATTCATTAGTCCATAGAGTACTCACATGTATTTCTTATCTTAGTGGCAATCATATAAATATTGAAACTGATTATTATACCAGTTTTGCCAAATTTGGAGCAGTCATTGCTTTATTTAAAAAAAACAAAAAACAGTTTACTACCTTTCAAGGGTTGTGCTTTCCTCCATGAGAATAACATCCAGTTTTAAGCACAGCCTTCTTAAAGAGAGTTGGCAGGTGTTTTTGTTTTGTTTTACCATCCAGTTGGGCTGCTAAAAGGTCCATTTCTAAACCACCAGCTGCTCAGTTGGAGAAAGACATGGCAGCGTAGTCCCATAAAGAGTTACAGTCTCACCTGTAAGCGCCTCCATGAAGATGATTTACAAAGAAAAGAAAAATAAACCAAATGAAAGCCGTGAACAAGAAGCATTAAAATGTAAATGGGCAGCTAAGGGGGACAACACTGGAGACTCAGTCTCAGGACTGCCCCGAACTGACTCCGCGACACTGAGGCAAACCACTATAGGTGTGCAGCAGAGCAACCGTGGGAGCAGAGCAGGGAGCCCCAGAGGGAGTACAAAGGACAGACTCTGGGGCCAGAGCATGGTACCCCATCAGACCTGACTGAAGGACACGCCTAGGGATCAAAAATCAGACCTTGATCTATTTACAGGTTTTTCTTTCTTTTTTAAATGTTTCTTTTCTTTTAATTAATTTGTTCTTTTATGGGTCATTGGTTTTCTTTTTTGTTTTCATCGCTGTGTTCTCATTCATCACCTGTCTTGCTATGCCTTGATTTTTGGTGCATGTTATTATGCCTACAAATCTATCTAGCTAAGATAGGCTGGATGAATAGCCTGGAGGAGAAAACAATGGGACCGATGATTCCGGGGGGGACACGGGAGAGGTGGAGGCACTGACCAACCCAGGGACAGGGGAGCAACAAGTGATCCAAAATTAGTGGCAAGGAGGGTGTGAGAGGCCTGGTAGGGATTCAGCAAGGGCAATGTACCCGAGAGAAATTACTGAAACCCAAATGAAGGCTGACCATGACAGTGGGACAAGAGGAAAGTAAAAGGAAATAGAGGAAAGAACTAGGTGACAAAGGGTATTTATAGAGGTCTAAATACTGGCATGTACATATGTAAATATATTTATATAGGAGGGTGGGGAAGTAGATCTACGTGCATATATTTACAGGTTTAGTATTAAGGCAGCAGATGGACATTGGGCCTCCACTCAAGTACTTACTCAATGCATGAGCACATTGTTCTATTAAATTGGCATTCCATGATGCACACCTTCCTGACACGAATACTGAAGAAAAATGCATGCATAAGCACAGGTGGTGAAGAAAGCTGATGGTGCCCGGCTATCAAAAGATATAACATCTGGGGTCTTAAAGGCTTGAAGATAAACAAGCGGCCATCTAGCTCAGAAGCATCAAAGCCCACATGGAAGGAGCACACCAGCCTGTCTCACTACGAGGTGTATAAGGGACCAGTTATCAGACATCAAAGAACAAAAATCATATCAGTGAGTGCCCACCTTCCCGATATGATCACTGAAGACAAACGTGTGCATAAGCAAATGTGGTGAAGAAAGCTGATGGTGCCCTGCTATCAAAAGATATAGCACCTGGGGTCTTAAAGGCTTGAAGATAAACAAGCAGCCATCTAGCCCAGAAGCAACAAAGCCCACATGGAAGAAGCATACCATCCTGTGTGACCACGAGCTGTTGAAGTGATCAGGTATCAAGCATCAAAGAACAAAAATCATATCATTGTAAATGAAGGTGAGTGCAGAGTGGAGACTCAAAGCCCATCAGTAGGCAACTGGACACCCCCTTACTGAAGAGTTGTGGGGAGGAGATGAGCCAGTCAGGGTGCAGGGTAGCAATGAAGAAACATGACTTTCCTCTAGTTCTTAAATGCTTCTTTATCCCCCAACAACACTATCATGATCCCAATTCTACCTTACAAATCTGGCTAGACCAGAGGATGTACGTTGGAAACACAGGGAATCCAGGACAGATGACCCCTTCAGGACCAGTGGTGAGAGTGGCAATGCCTGGAGGGTGGAGGGAATGTGGGGTGGAAAGTGGGGACCAATTACAAGTCTATGTATAGCCTCCTCCCTGGGGGATGGACAACAGAGAAGAGGGTGGGTGGAGATGTCAGACAGTGTAACATATGACAAAATTATTTATGAATTATGAAGGGTTCATGAGGGAGGGGGAAAAATGAGTAGCCAATATTAAGGGCTCAAGTAGAAGGCAAATATTTTGAGAATGATGAGGGCAACAAATATACATATGTGGTTGACACAATAGAAGTATGTATGTCTTGTGATAAGAATTGTATAAGCCCCCAATAAAATGATTTAAAAAAAAAAAAACGTACCTAAAGGAGTTTGGAACTAAGTTAAAATTAAAATTTTTCTTTGAATGTGGTCAGTATTGTCGAATAAAATGGCCGAATATTCATAAAAGAATGTCATGGAATATGATAAATGTGACGAGACAGAAGATATGTTGTGAATCATATGATGTAAAAAGAAAACCACCATGTTGCATGATTAGCATCTATGAATTAATGGGCTAGTGACTACTCAAGATAGAAAATAAGGGTATTTTGATTTTCCATCTCTTCCTATTGTTATAATGCTTAAAATAGGTTATAATTTGCTTAGGATTTTTTTCACTCCATAATGTTTACTAATTAATAGATACTAATCTATAGACACTGTTTAAGCATACAATATAATAACTAATTTAGAATACTGGACAGTATATCTATAACTATATTTGTAAGTTTTGAATGATCCAGGAGGCATCAAGAGAAGATGGAAATAATACACAGAGTCATTGCGCCAAAATAAACTCATTGGCAGTCCCCCATTTCAGGAGGGAGCATATGAGCAAGAGCCAGTGAAACTACATTGAGCAGTAGCCAAAAACAAGGCTTCCCAACATTGGTGCAGTACCCACTGAAATTTTTCCTAAGGTTGAAGAAGCACTTAAATCACTCACCTATACCTGGAAATTTGGAAGACAGCTCCTTGGCCAACTGACTGGGAGAGAGCCAGATCTCTGCCCATTCCAAAGAAAGGTGACCCAGGAGAATGTTTAAAACTATAGAATGATACCATTGCTATCACACATAAGTAAAAATGTTCTTGTTATCACCCAACAATAGTTGCAGCAATACATTAACAAGAACTGCCAGAAGTTTTGGCTGGTTTCAGAAGAGAATGTGGAACAAGGGATAGCATTGCTGATTTCAGATGGCTCAAAGCAAAGAATGCCAGAATGATGTTTACTTGTGTCTCATTGGCGATACAAAACAAAAAACAAACCCAAACCATAATAAATTGGGGATAAGCTTGAGAAGAATGGGAATTCCGGAACACTTCATTGTGCCCATTCAAAATATGTGTGTGGATCAAGAGGCAATTGAGGGAACAGAACAAGGGGACACTGCATGGTTTAAAATCAGGACAGGGTGTGTCAGAGTTGTATCCTGCCAACATACTTCTTCAATCTATATGTTGAGTAAATTGTCAGTGAAACTGGATTATATGAAGAAGAGTGTGGCATCAGGATTGGAGGAAGGCTTCATAACAACCTGCAATATGCAGGCGACACAACTTGCTTGCTGAATGTGATGAGGACTTAAGATCAAGTCTTGCTGATGAAGTTCAAGGATTGTTGCTTTCAGTGTGGATTACAACTCAATGAAGACCAAAATCCTCACAATCGGACCAATAGGTAGCATCATGATATATGGAGAAAAGGTTAAAGTTGTCAAGGATGTTGTATTACTTGGATCCACAATCAATGCTCATAGAAGCAGTAGTCAAGAGATCAAAAGATGTATTGCATTAGGTAAATCTGCTGCACAAGACCTCTTTAGAGTATTGAAAAGTAGGGATGTTACTCTGAGAACTAAGGGGCACCTGCCCCAAGCCATGGTACTCTCCATTGCCTCATATGCATGTGAAAGTTGGACATGGAATAAAGAAAACTGTAGAGGAATCGATGCATTTGAATTTTGGTGCTGGAGAAGGATATTGAAAGGACTATGGACTACTCAAAGGACAGTTTGTATTGGGAAAAGTAAGGCCAGAATCCTCCCTAGAGACAAGGATAGCAAGATACTGCCTTACATACTTTGGACCTGTCAGGAGAGCCCAGTATCTGGAGAAGGACATCATGTTTGGTGAAGGCCCTTGATGTGATGGACTGGCACAGTGGCTGCATCAATGGGCTCAGGCATGGGAACAATTGTGGGGGTGGCACAGGACCATGGAGTGTTTCGTTCTGTTGTACATAAGGTTGCTGTGGGTCTGAGCAAACTCAGTGGCACTAACAATAATAGTTGTAAAAGATATTATTTTTATTCATCTATTTTTATATTTTAAAGCTTCCTTCCTTTTTTCACATTGCTCCAGGAGCGGGTGGAAAGTTACTCCACTGCAGCAATTCAAGATACTTACCCCGAGGATCGTACATGCCATGCTTGTGGATTATCTCGCCACTGTGCATACTACGTGCAATTATCAGGAGAGTTGTATGATATCCGTACTATGGAAATAGATGATTTCATGTCACATGATAAGCAGGTATAATTCTTTGTTAACTTTGGTTTCTGGTCTTTAGAAATTTTCAGTACATAAGCTTGCACAAATATAAACTAGGTTATTATTTTCACAAGTAGAGAAATTAACGCATGATTAGGAAGAAACAGTATAAGAAAAGAGGGTATGATTTTGCATGTGAAGTATGTCTTATACGGCAGATTAATTTCTTAATTCAGTCCGATGATGGAATGAGTGTTGAGATAGGGAAGATTTCCTGGGGCAGGGAAACAGACCCAGGTAGAAAATTGTGAAGCAGATGGTCCACCACATAGATAAGCCACAAGCAAATAACTGAAGGGTGTTATTCACCCCACTATAAGAGAATTAAAAGAATATCCTACTTAAATCTAAATGACATCAGAGTGTTTCAGAATCTAGACCCACAGACTTAAGTGGTGTTAATTTTGAATGAACAGGTAAAAGTCACGAATAAGTAATAGAGCAGAGCAGAGTAGTGCAATGCGAAATGACAGAAAGTGCAAGTGAAGATCATTTTCTCATCTTATAAAGTCTTTATAAAAGCATTGTCATGTTAAAGGAGCCTGATGGCACAATGGTTAGTGATTGGCCACCAGACACAAGTTCAGTCACAGTTTGAACCCAAAAGCAACTCCAGCGGGGAACGATGTGGCTTTCAGCATCTGTAAAGATTACAGCCTAGGAACCCCAATGGGGAAATTCAACTCTGTCCTGTAGGGTTGCTCTGAGTCAGGATGGCAACAATATTAATATCTTCCTCTGGTGAGTCTGCATGTTCCTGTTGGGAGTAAGGGTAGGTTAGAAACCCAAAGCCCTGTGAAGAAACAAAAATTCTATTTTAAGAATGGTGATTTTTAATACCTTTAAAAAAGTAGATCTTCTGACTTAAAAGCAGTTTATATATATGGAGCCCTGGTGGCCCGGTAGATGACAAGTTGGGCTACTCATCTCAAGATCAGTAGATCAAATAACCCAGTTGCTCCGTGGGAGAAAAGATGAGGTTGTCTGCTTCCATAAGTACACACTGCCTCATGTACACCTAATGAACAGGTCTCCTCTGCCCTATAGGGTCATTATAAATCAAAATTGACTCAATGGAAGTGGGTTTTATTTGGGTTATAGATCAATAAACCTGAAATTACCTTTAAAGAATGATCTCCCACTATTTTCTCCCAATGTAGTGGGAAATCACATTTTATATGGAAGACCCTAAGCCATTGCTGTAAAGTTTCATAGTAAACAGTAGATTCATATAATAGCTATAATACTGTACATTGACCTCCTCTTCCCACCCCCATTATTTTCGGTACAATATTCCAAACCCAAACCCATTGTCATCGATTCGGACTCATGACGACCCTAGAGAATAAAGTCAAAAGGCACTCGGGTCTCCAAAGCTATAATTCCTGTAGGCAGCCACCACTTTCTCCTACAGAGTGGCTGGTGGGTTTGAACTTTTATTTATATGTCTTCAGTGCCTAGCCCAATACTTAGAACGTGGTTGTTCAGTTGTTTATTGACTGAGTAGAATAAAAGAAGGTTAAAAAAACCATAATACACTGAAAACTGTAAGGTCTGCAATGCAGCAAAACTCTGGTTTTTCTGAGTCTCCAACATTTTCCACCTTTGACAGGGTACATTGGAAAATAATTGCATTTTCAATCCCTGAAAAGTTCTGGCTTTTGTATATTTTACTGTATAAGCACAAATAAAATCAAGAAAACATTTATTAAATTTTACAACTGAAGAAAATGAAAACCAGGAAGGCTATTGATTTGTCAGATAATGATGCTCTTATCTTGATATAGGTGTTCATCGTGGGTAGAATCTGTGCTTCTCGTACAAGCATTTATCATCAACTGAAACATTTTAAATTTAAGCTTTACAAAGAATGTTGCTCCATTGCAAAAAAAGAGGACGTGGAAGACGACCAGATTGAAGAAACAGTGGAAAGAGTTTTCAACCAGTCCAAAGAAAATGGCTGGATTAAGGAGGTAAAGTAGATATGTAAGAACCATTCGGTAATTATGCGTTCAACCTAATGATTAGCCCAAAGACACAAATGATTAGAAGAGAATGGAATGTAAAGCAGAGCCTCTCCTCTCGCTGTCTGTGCATCTTCCCCTCTTCCACCTGTTCCTGCCATGCTTTGATCATTGTCCTCCTCTTCCCAAAGTTCTGAGCATTCACTCAGCACGTCAGTTAAATTTTATTGAGCAGAAATACTGTTTATTCTTTGAATGTCCTTATCCTTTCACCTTAAGTAGCATTCCTTACCGATATCATAAGCCCCCTTATTGTCTTTGACAAAGTAGAGGACTCAACTCTGCTGGTCTGCTTTTATTCTTGCTGGTAATCCTTGTGACCTGAGAGAGAAGAAGCTCTTTATGGCAGTCTGAGGAAAGGACCTCGCCTGCCAGTTCTAAGGCCACCACATCCTCTTCTTGATGACTTGGGTCCTAGCAGTGGGCACTGGAGCTGAGATAAAAAAAGTGGTGGCAGTTTCAGGCCAAGACACTGATTTTTATTCCCCTATATCCTGTTGATGACTACGTTGGACAGCAGAGTTAGAGTTGGGGTTTTGTAGCGTACACTCGATTCCTGAAGATCTACTGAGAGCTCATAAACATCTGCTCACAGAGCTTGTAGCATTTTAATGACACAAATAATGCGAATTTGATGTCAGCCTTCTGAAACATGCCTGAGTAAAAGAATCTGTAAGAGAGAACAAACAGTAGATTTTCAGGTAACTGAGATCAACAGTAGGTTTAATCTTAGATAAAAAAGGAAAGCCTGACCTAAGACCCATTGCCTGGGAGATGTCCTAGAGAAACTTGTAGAAGAGGAAAAGGGAAAGAAGGCAAGAAAACGTGGAGGGAAGAAACCCATGAGCAAAGGGAATGGAAAGAGAACAACCAAAAAGGAAGTCCTCAGAGCATAGCGGAAGTCTCCCTTGCCTGAGAATGACTATTGGCTTTCACTTTTGACCCTCATGACAGCCGCCACCCAGTACTCCCTAGCCTGCTCTCAGAGCTCGACCCTTAAATCTTTCTCTCATTTGAGTCCCTTCAACTTCTGCCAATTAGGCTGACTTTGTTCTTCTCCCCACATCCTGCCTCTGGTTCTTCCATTTACCTTTGGATAGAGCTTCTCAGATCCAGTGGCTTCCCCACTCCCTCTTTATTTTCTAAGCAGCACTCAATTCTTAAGTGCTTTTATTCATGCATTTAAGTGTTGCCATACCTTAGGTGGAAGTGAAGCACTTAGAGACACCACAGGTATAAGGAATTGTGTACTATGTGTAGAATACATACTGTGCTTATATGTATTACATATGCATATTGTTAATATAGACTATGATCAAGAAGGAAAAAATAAAAAGCATCTCCAATCATCTACTTAATGAAATTTTAATAAAGTATGTTTGGGATAGCAATGGTGTCTAGAAAGAAAAAAATGAAGATTTTTAGGAAAAGAACCCTAAGTGTCCTATTTTGCTTAAAGAATAACATCGCGCATTGAAAATATTTCAAGGTTTTATGTTTGGATGCGATATGCATTTTTTCCCTAAAAATCCCAAAACGTTTCATTTTCTTTTTGGAATTCCCCGTACTTGAAAAAAACAAATAAAATAAAAATCTATCCACTGACTTTCTCAAAAGATTTCATACAAACATAGAAGTTTGTGGCCAGTAAAAACAACTTCTTGTGCTGTGATTAAATTCCAAAATTGGTCAGGTGCTCTGACACTTCTTAGCTTGACCCTGCCCACCCCTGTGTGCATGCGCCTGTGTGGCTGGGGGCTCGCCCTGACTGTGCCTCTTCTTTGGCTGCACTCTCATGATCTCTGCTGCTGAGGGCCTTTAGAATTCCTTGGTCTTGGTGACACTTGAATGCCCAGATCCATGGCTCATTTGCTCTTCTCTAGCAGAAATGACCACCCCTCCTTTCCCCTTACACACGATTTGTGTCCCCTCCTCCTGCTTATGTGTCACACTGTGCTTCTCCTCCTCCCCCACCCTGGTCCCTCTTCCTCCATTTTCTTCCCTTATCTCAAGATATCTCATCTCAATACTTCTTCCCAAAGACCTGCTAGTCAGAAGGAGGACATTGCTTTTCTTCTTCTTCGAATCCCTTGAACCAGGAGAATCTCTCTTGAGGCTAATGACGTTAAAGTGATAGAACAACTATATTGTAAGAAAAGAACAAATGATAAGGAAATCATAATAAAACAAAAAATAACAAATATGTGCCTTATCCTAAAATATGAGCCAAAGTGGTGTAGTCATTATGCATTGGGCTGCTGCGATTGGCATGATCAGCAGTTCAAAACCACCAACAGTTCTGAGGGAAAAAGACTGGACATTCTACTCCTGTAAACAGTTCCAGTTCCAGAAACACACAGATATGTATCCGCCTTGACTCGGTAGCAGTGAGTTTGGAGCTTTATCCTATAATAGAGCTGAAGAACATACTGCAGTATGTATGCCACTGGCAAAATTATAACTTTTTCCCATTCAAAAACAGTACATTTGATGTAAGGATTCTAGGAAAGTTGAGTGCAGTGGTTGGTCGATGAGAATCAGGGACGGACGAAAGTGTATCCATAGAAATACAAGCTTCAGTGTGACGGTTGGATTTAAAGTAGCTTTAAAATTTATTATATAAATAGTATAATCAAAAGAATGAAAAATTTTAATTAAATATCCCTCCCTTTTCAGACGTTTTTGTTCCCTTCCTTTCCCCTGTTTTAACATTTCTTTTTTTCCATTCCATTCTCTTCCACCTCTTAAACTGTTGGTTCTCATAACATGGCCCTAAACTACCTCTATGAGAATCACCAAATAGCATGTGTGCAGTCCAGGTAGTGCAAATAGTTCAGCCGTGGACTAATAACCGAAAGGTTGGTGGTTTGAGCCCCTACAGAGCAGTCCCAGGAGATCTGGACGTGAGATGGTTACGTCCATGAAAACCCTGTACAGCACAGAATAGAACACCTGCCACTCATGGGACTTTCTGAAATGGCAACTGGGGCTATTGTTTTGTGTTTGTTTTTCCGTTAGAAGTATGTGAAAAAGTCCATAAGCCCCGATCTCACCATGAAGATTTCTGGTTAAGGATCTTTAGAGATTCTTTAACAATATGTTTAAGACAAAAGGTGATTCTTAAGCAAATTAAAGATTGAGGACCACTACTTAAAAGAGCAGTAGTACTCCAAGTTCTGTCCTCTGCCTCTCTAAGCCAGCGGTTCTCAACCTGTGGGTCGTGACCCCTTTGGGGGTCAAACAACCCTTTCACAGGGGTCACCTAAAACCATTGGAAAACACATTACAATTTACATTACAATTCATAACATTAGCAAAATTACAGTTGTGAATAAGCAGTGAAATAATTTTATGGTTGGGGTTACCACACTAAGACGAACTGTATAAAGGGTTACGGGATTAGGAATGTTGAGAACCACTGCTCTAAGCGATATCTCTCTTGGCAAACTCATCCCTTTTTGCAGGTCTAACTGCTATGTTGGGTAGAAGAGTCCACATTTTTCCTTCTAAGTTGACCTCTCTCTCAAACCTTACAAGAGGGTAGCCCCGCTCTCCCACTAAAAGCAAAGTAGGGAAAAAGCTCTGCTGGCCGGAGCTTTTGGAGTATGCAGCATGCATTATATTCCCGCTTGCGAGCCTCCAGCAACTCACTCTAACTTAGTGCACCCAGTGGTGTTTGCCTGGGAAGGTTCTCTCACAATGAATTTTTTCATAATAACAGTTTTGCTTAAACCTGATTTTTGGTGATGGCCAATTTAAGAGAGAACAGCATGTGGCTGTGAAATTTTGTTTCCTCTCTGGGAAAAATGCTACAGAAACTGTTGTGATATTGAACACAGCTTACAAGGGCAGCATTATGGGAAAAACTCAAAGTGTGCCAAGTGGTTTTCTCATTTCAAAAAAGGTGAAATGTCTATTGATGACAAACTTCATTCTGGATATCTGTCACTGAATGAAAATGTCAACTTGCAGTGCATTTGGTGTTGAATCCACCAGGTCAGACTGCTAATCAAGCTTTCTATTTAGAGGTTGTGAAAAAAATTGCATAATTATGTGACCAAAAAGGTCTGATTTGTGTCAGATGGGACTGGTTTTGCCACCATGACCATGCACCTGCTCACACAGCCATCTCAGTGTGCCAGTTTTAGGCAAAAAACAGCATGCCTCTCTTGCTCCACACATCTTACTCACCTAACCTTGCTCCATGGGACTTCTTTTTGTTTCCACAAATGACAAGGGCAATGAAAGGGAAGAGATTTGAAGACATACAATAGGTGAAGAAAAAAACAAGGGAGGTACTGTCAGTCATCCAAACAGATGAGTTTGAAAAATGTTTCCATGAATGGAATGCAGATTTGACAAATGTATTAATTGTAATGGAGAGTACTTTGAAGGTGATGAGGTTATTTTGTAAAAAATGTAAATACATAGCTTTGAAAAAAACATTTGTTTTTTTCTGGGTACCTCCTCAAAGTCCGCAACCCCACCCATTTTTATTGATAGGTCGCTTTGGCACTGTAAGAGAGTAGTCTCCATTACTATTACAGCAAGACCCCAAACCTCCCCGCTTTTCACAAAAGAAAACTATGGAAGGAGAGTCATTAGACATGGGTTGGGAGTGGAACACAAAAGTCAAGTCATATTAATTGCCTTCTCTCTGAGTTGTACTTTGCCTTTTGAGATACTCCTTTATTCTTTGCCCACCCTCACCATTTAAATCCCAGAGACAGTGTAATACAATAATTAAAACCATGACTCAGCTACTTACATGCTTTAGAATTTTAAAGCAAGTTATTTTATTTCTGCAAGCCTAACTTTTCAAATCTTAACGTAAGAACAAAAACAACAATAATAATTAGAGTTACAGATAGCACCCTTAAAGCATTTAGTATAGGACTTTGGAAGTAGTTAAGTCAGCAATAAACATGATCTGAATTTAGTAATAAAAAAACAAGGGAACCTTTTCCTGTCCTTTGTAGAGCTTAAATAGAAAGTAATTTTCCAAAAGAAATGTACAAAAAATAAAAAATAAAGATAGATAACATAAAAAGCCAAAGAACAACCCAACATTTACAGTACAGGCTTTAAATCCTAGTCCACTTATATCCAAGGGAAGCTGTCTGCATACTAGGACAAGAGAGTACCTAAGTAATCCCTAGGCTCTTCTCGTGTTCTTTTCTTCATCCTTCCAGAGAAAGTCATCTGGTTACGAGGACCTCAATGTGAAGAAAGGTCTTCCTGACTCATCTCTAAAGGGAAACTAGACTCTTCTGTGGGCCCCTGTCACCACAGAAATGTCACACAGCGGAATCCTCTCTTAACCTATATTGGGTTTAGAATTAGAGTTTAGTAGATAGAGTCAAGAAACCAGTGCATCATCTCATCTCTTCCTCCTAAGCAGCTGGAATTCTCTGTGCCCGAAAGTGGACATAGGTATCTCTTCTCCAGCCTACCTGAGAAGTAGCCTCCTATTTTTACCTTAAAGCTTCTTGACTCCTCTGTTAACTTGTTCTTGTCTCTCCAACCTCATGGCTGTGACAGAAATCTGGACCCTCATTACCTGACTCAGAATTAGTTGCCAGGCCATTCTAAACATGGCTCTTTTATCAATGCTTCATTGCCTGCCCAGAAGCCTGTAGCAGCTCTCCATTGCCTATCAAACTGTTACTAAGCTGCTCAACTTGACATTTCATGTTTTATTTTCTTGTCTCAGCCTTTTTGGTTCAGTCTTTTTTTCCTCTCTCTCTACTCCCTTTGAAGACCCTCAGATTGCAGTCAAACCTCACCTTTTTGTTTTATCATCATAAATGGAATGCTGTATCCTGCAGAAAGCTGCCCCCGTTAAAGTGTTACCTACTGAACATGTTTCTCCCAACCAAGCACAAAATCCAATCTATACTTTGGTATGGTACTTATGATTGATAGTTATTGGTAGGTATATTGCTACTACACACAGTTCTCCTTAGGAGCAGGAACAGTGTCATGTTTCTTGTACCTAGATATTAATTCATGAAATATTATTTATATATATATATATATTGTACATCTGATAAAACTTTATGAATTTTGGGTATAATAGAAAACTTGTAAGAGCTCTAAAGTACAGTAGTAATAATAATAATAATCTGAGCTCTTCCAAATGTTAGAAATATTAGTTCTAAGTCGAATCCCTTGTTATAATAAATTATTTTGTTCCTTATGACTATGGAATTCACTTGTTCCTGTTAATGGCTATAGAATGAAAAGGCCTATTTTATCTTTATTTTCTTTGACTAAAGTAACTACCTTTTTCATTTTATATGCAGAAATATGATCAACTTGAAAAGTGCCTTAGTTCTGCAGATTTCTTTTCGGAAGAGAAGTGTGGCTGAATTGTAGCCCTTGTCCTCCAGAGAAGATTTTATAAATTACTCTAAATGTGAAAATCATGAAGCTTGCTTACCTGAATCATGTTCCATGTGTTTATGTATTAATTGTGTATCTTTATGACAAAATAACTTTTTAAAACATGCACTTGTGGTATTTTAATTCCCATGAAATGGGACTCCGCAGTTTAGTAGCACTTTTATATGCTGAACAAACAAAATCTGATGATATTTTTCTCCCCAAAATCCTTTTATTGGGGGCTCTTACAACCCTTATAACATTCTTAAGACTCTTGAAGGCATTAAATTTATTTCAAAATTAATAACAGTGACTGTCAAGTGAATGAGATGATGTGAGGGTGTTCTAGAAGGAAGAGAATGTTTTGAAACTGATTGTGATGGCAATTGTACAATAATACTTGATGTGATTGAACTATGTAATGATACTCCCAACCCAAATGATTTTGAAAAGAAAACAATATAATTATTTAGTCTAACATCTATATATACTAATTGCTTTTAATCTCTATTTATTACCCATCTGCAGTATTAAACAGACTCGACTAATGTATTTTGACCACTATCATTGGCTAAATCAGTGGGCCATAGAAGAAGCCATAGTATATTATTCAATTCACTCCTGTTATCTGAGAATCAACTGAACTTACCTATTCTAAGTAGAGGTATGTTTTTTTCCTTTTGCTAAAGTTTCCTTTAGAAATTGGTTTCAGATCGCCAGAGTCTGTCTATCCTCATATTCGGGAATAACTTTGTAATAGGTATATTGATACTTCATAATGTTCTTTATATTTAATTTTATCTAGATGCTAATAATGAAAATTATTTTATTTATTTTTTATCTACAACTTTCCCCTTATGCGCACAAAAGATCAGAGAAAAAACTTTAGCTAAAATATGTTTAAATCATATTTTAGAAAGCATCATCTTGCACACCTAAGTTCTCACTTATTTAAGTAAACTGAACAGTTCCAGAGAAGTAAAATAGACCCTGTTTGTACTGCATTTTTAATTCCTACAAGGGATGTTTTAGCAAGAGCTATTCTGGGGAACTTTAGATTCTTGTGTCTTATTGGAAATGTTGTCGACCTATCTTCATCTACTAAGTAGTTCATAGCATGCACCTCAGTGTGTGTATACTTATAAAACTGCAATTTGTTAAATCTTTACTTGGAGATTACTTAATGTTTTCTACAACTCATATCCTAAAATCATCTCTTATTATTGTAAATAAACTGGATAAAACAAACATACCAAAAAAAACAATACTCAAAATTGATAACATGCTGAAGTTTAATTTGTGGGGTTCAGCAAACGTAAAAATAGAAATTTGAGTCACGGAGCTCTATCTGGATTCACATTTTCCTGGCATATGGGAGTAATCCTGCAAGGACTGTGACTTATTTAATGTGGCTCTTCCAGCCAAACTCTCTTCACTCTCACCAAAAGACCTTTCCCCTTATGGATCTGGTAAGAACGTTGGAGAACATACTGATAAGGATCTCCTGTGAGTATTTGGAACAAGAGTCCCTGGAGTGTTGTCCTGCTGTGTACAAAAAGCCCTCTGAGAAGCAGGAGGAATCTCATTACCAACAAGAGCACGGAGTTGGAGCACATCCTCTGGACCTGAGATCCCTGTGCACTGAACCTCCTGGATCCAGAGAGCTGTGCCAGCAGAGAAGCAGCAGTACCAGAATCCAGAGCGTGGAACAGAGTGATGGACTTCCAAACCCATGAACATGATAAGATGAATGTTTTTGTGCAGGAGACTACCTTGCAGAGTGAGGTGCCTTTAGGCACTTACCCGGGGGAGCTGGGTTTGCTGACCCATGGAGCTGGAGCTGAATGCCTTTGGGTTGAGGCTTACAGCAGAGTGGTATGCCCCTTTGGACATTTATTAGCAGAGCCAAAACGCTTTGACTTGTCCTGGTGAACAACTACTCTGAGCATTTCTCACTGTCATTACAATTTGTTAACTTCCTTAATAAACCCTTTAATCATGAATTTTGTCTGTGAGTTTCTGTATAGCCATTGCAATGGATATTAGAAACTAGAAAGGTAGATAGTGGGCATTAACTAAGACATTCCAGATCTTTAAATCCAAGGGAATAAAAATGAAACCAGAGAACAGAGACAGAAGAAGATGGCGTGTAGTTAAAGTGAAGGAGAGTGGGAGGCGGAGTCTTGAAATTAGAATCAGGGTTCTAGGGTCTGATCTGAACCCCTGCTTTTTTTGAATTGCACTCAAAGCGAACCGAGAACACACTAAATCACTCTAGGTTCAGTGTGCTGGGCTCGGCTCCAGCAGAGCAGCTGCCTGCGCCCTTGTTGGCAGTGAGTAGCACTTTCCCCAGGCTGACACCCTAAAGGGAATGTAATCCCAGGCCCAAGAAGAACCTCTGAAAGCTAGTCACAGGACCCCACAACAGAGCTCCCCATGTTGTTTGCTGCCTTGAGCTCATAGCCTGGGCATCAGGATTGGTGGGTAGCAATAGATTTGGAGCAATTGAAAAGAAGTAAGGAAATTTACCTGAGTCAGGTTACACTGTGGCAGAAAATAGGCCTGATAGTCAACGTCCAGGGGACAAATTCAGTTCCAGATGGCAGAGAAGAAAACCTCTCTGATAAGGTGGATCTCCTCGGGGTGGGGTGGGGTGGGGGGTCAACATAACAGCCCCCAAATCAGGGTACCCCATAAACCCAATATAAAAAAAAGAAAAAATATTTTCTCAGTAAAAACTGCAAATCCCAGGCTCATTGTTTAACTCCAAGGCAACTGATGGAATGAATCCCTTAACATACATTAGCATAATGGAGCCCATGCTGAGGAAGGCCAGAAGTTAGTTATAGAGCCCAGAGCCTTTCAACAACAAAGGCCCCTTGGAGAAAACCTCAGTTTCAGAATAACTTAATTCCAGCTGGCCAGGTGGGAGAGACAGGGGTAGTTATTAGGGCATCAGAGTGCCTGGCACAAGTTTAGGACAAGACCAGCTCCACATTCAGTGATCCTATATGCAGCTGGGGAGGTCCTCCCTGTCCTGGGGCCCTACATGGGGCGGAGGGAACTCACCCACCCCCCACCCCGCAGTGCTGCATACAGCACAAGGCAGCTACACCACTGAACTCCAGCACTCAACACCGCTGTGGGAATTGCTACCTGGCCGCTGATGTGATCTTGCCTTTGAGGGTAATTCCGCCCAGAATCTGTGGGACCCTACACCAAGTGTGCACACCACCCCACTACCTTTAGGCAGGGTTGGAACTCTTCCAGCCCTATAGTCACGGGATCAGGCCTCAGTTATCTCCCTACTTACTACTCTTTTTCTTCTTTTTCTCTCTCCCTTCTATCTTTCCCACTGCAGTCACTCTCAGCGTGCTCAGTTTTGTTTTGTTTTTCTTTCTTTTTTCTTCTTTATCTCTTTTTCCTCTTCTCTCCCTCTCTTTCCTTTCATTCACGACTGCTGGTTTCTGGGCCACTACCTTCCACCTAGGACAACTTCACAAAAACAGCAGGGGGAACTACAGCCTGTCCCCTGTAGGAGCTCTGCACACCACACAAGGCAGCTGTGACAGCCCTCTACAGCACCCCACTTTGCTAAGGAAACCTCAGTCTGGCCTGTACGGTGATCTTGCTAAAAAGGGCAATTCCGCCCAGCACCACTGGAACCCTGGACTAAAAGGGCACACTAACCTGCTACCTTGGGGCAGGGATTAAACCACCCCAGCCCCGTGTTCAAACAATAAGAGATCAGCTATCTCTTTACACTTTTTTTTCTTTTCTCTTTCTTCTCTTTTCCACCACAGTCAATCTTAGCGAGGACAGTTGTTTTCCCCTTCTTCCTCTTTCTTTGTCTTCTCTCTTTCCCCCTCTTTTCTGCACGAGGCAGTGCTACACGGCACAGCATGGGGCTCTGCTGTCTTTATTTTTTTCTTTTCTACTTCTTTCACTTTTTTTTCTTTTTTTAATCATTTTATTAGGGGCTCATACAACTCTTATCACAATCCATACACACATCAATTGTGTAAGGCGCATTTGTACATTCATTGCCCTCATCATTCTCAAAACATTTCCTCTCCACTTAAGCCCCCGGCATTAGGTC